ATAGCACAAGTGGAGCAGCTTTTACAAGGTTCTAAGACTGCAGGTAGACTAATTTTAAAGAGAACTTCAAAGTAAGACTTCTTCGCTCTTCATAGTTTTTGATGGATAAAAAAAAGAAGGGTTTTGTAATTCATTTTGGTTTTGTCAACAAACATATTTGTATTTAAAGTGAAACTTTGTTTTTGGGGCTCAGAGGACTTCCATGACAGCTCGGTTCTGCTTGTGTTACAACAGATTTTCAGCAACACTGACAACACTGTGCAGACTGCAGAGACTATTTCACATGCTGATGGTACACTGCAGCCAGTGGCCAGCAGGCATGGACAGCTCACTCAGTGTTGAAGCCAATAAGAATACACTCACAAATGCACACACAAACACAAACACACATGCACACAGACGGACACACACAAAAGTGAGGGAGAGTGAGACATCTAGCTTTGTAAACTATACCGGTACAAAAGCTTCACTGGCAGCTGATGCTGTTTATTTATTTTCAAAATGTACACACTCATACACCCTCTATCTACACACAAACACACACACACCCTCTATTTACACACAAACACCCTCTATCTACACACAAACACACACACCCTCTATTTACACACAAACACCCTCTATCTACACACAAACACACTTACACACCCTGTATCTACACACAAACACACACACACACACCCTCTATTTACACAAACAGACACAAAACAGATATGAAGTTACACCCTTGGGACTCTCATAAGTTTGTGTGGCTTAGAGGCTGTGGGCACAATAAAAAAAAAATTGAGGAAATAAAAACATAACAGGAAATAGAGTTTAAAAAAAGACACCTGATTACTCTAACTCAATGAACTGTGAAGTGTTAAACTCTTGTCCTGTGTGTCTGTAAGTGCTGCACTCAGACAGAAGTGGTGCAGGGATAAGACTCATGACTCTGCAACACAATATATGACATCATTACCCTGAGCAATGATGCATTACCATAGCAACAGCACCCAGAGGTTATGATGGGATGTAAGAGATACAGGCTTCTCTGTGGTGGATCATGCTGTCTTTTATTGGTAAAGGTTCGCTAACAAAATAGTACAAAAAAAAATCCCTACACACGTCTGTTGTTTCCCTTTGGCAAAGAGTCTCCCACAACAACAAATGTCTTTTTCAGCAGCCAAACTTTAGTGAAAGCTTTAGAAGAGTCCAGGATCATTCCATCGTCCATTTGCAAACTTTACACGTGACTCCACCGCCCTAAATCAACCGAGTGACACCCTCTGCTCCCCCTGTACCCGCCCTTAACATGGCCAAACAAGCTGCCTGCAGCCTCAAAGGAAGGCTCTCTTCAGTACATAAAGAGGGGACAGATAGAGGATCATTTAGCACTAATCAGCATCTTGTCTACAAGGAAAGCAAAAGGAAGCAGAATCTGAGGGGAGATGAGGAGAGAGACTGAGTTCTTGCCTGAGGAGCCCGGTGATAGTTCTCCTCTTCTCTTATCTTGCGATATATATTAGCTCTTGTTCTCTCTCGGCCCCTGCCTTGATTCTGGCCTCGAGTGCATTCACAAATTAATGACACTGTAAGTAGAAGATTAATCGGGTAATGAAAGACATGACACAACCCAGCAGGGTGTGCACACAATAGGCTAATAAAAAGGGAGAGTACAGGAACTTTCAAGTGGTATCAAATTCAATAAAGATATACTTAATTATTTTGAAGCCCGTGAAAAGTTCCTGAGTCAACGCAATTGTCCTGGTCTGAAGCAAAGCAACCAAAAATATTAAATGAAAAAGATGGCAAAGTCATTGTGCATTGTCATAACTTTCAGTAAAGGATTCAAGGAAATATATAATAAGGATCAATAAAATATGAATGTGGACAGGTTTTTATAGATTCAGCTGCATTTCAGAGCAGAGATGAGTGTTGCTATTTTTGGAGAAACAAAAAAAAGCTGAAAAGTCAAAGCAAGATAAAGAGAGAAAAAGAAAAATCTTGCGGCAACAAGCGGTAAACCAACGCTGCTGAATCAAGTTGTTAGAGTCCAGTTCAAGACCTGTGTCCTACTTTTTTGTAAAACAGTATAAAATGTGTGTGTGTGTGTGTGTGTGTGTGTGTGTGTGTGTGTGTGTGTGTGTGTGTGTGTGTGTGTGTGTGTGTGTGTGTAGTTCTACACAGTGGTTGGCTTTCTGTGACTTGTGTAGCATTAATTAAACCAGAAATGCCCGAGGACTCAACAGTCAGGGCGCCATGCATACACACAGCCTCATTATCCTGAAACCTCATCCTCATCTCTCTGACCACACTTGTTTCTGTCCTCTTGTGTCCGTCACTCTCTCTCTCTCTCCTTCTTTCGCTCTATTTCTATTTCACACCAGACATCTTTCTAACCTGTGTTTATGTTGCTAGTTCTGGATGTTGCTGCTGTGTCGGTATGTGAAACTTTCTTATAGATAAGGTTACTTGTTTCAGTTGCTTGATGAGGACTTAAATTGCTTGATGAGGACTAAAAATTTGCAATAAATTACTTTATTGCAAATTTTCTAATTTGACATCAAGCCACACCTGCTTACAAAGAGTGATATTACAGGGTCTGTCTAATTGTGCTAAAGGTAAAAAGAAAAAATGTCACATTAAAGAAACCAAAAGAAGGAAGAAAATGGCTTTGGCTTACATATTTGGTGATATTAACCCTTCATGGTAAACTTCCACTGGTGATGTACAGCACTAACAAGCTCCAGCCTAGGTGTCATCAAAAGCTGAATAATAGTCAGAGACATTCATGCCAAGCTTTGTGCAATTGGTTGTGTACAAGTCTGTTCGGCTGAAAGGAAGGATGCTTAATCGTTAGTGAAGGGTGCTAATCCTTCACTAAAAGCTCTGATTACAGCACTAATGGAACTCGTCTTCAGCTGTGTGAGAAAGGAGACGGGGCAAGGTAAAAAAGAGGTTTTGAAAAAAATAGGAAGGGAGAAAGTCATGTGAGGGGAAAATGGCGGTGAAGAATGTTAGCGAGGCACAATGGAGACTTGAAAAGGTGAATGGGTGAGGGAGAGAACATGAGATGAGGAGGGGAGGCAAGTGTGAAGTAAGAGGGGAGAAAAGATGGATAGAAATAGGAATGAGGACAGGAAGCAGTGGGAGGCAGAGGAGATGAGATTTAAGATTTGCAGGGGTTATATGCATCTCTTTGTCTTGTGTCTTTGTGTGAGTGTTGCTCCATTTATCTGCAACAAACTCCCGTATTATTTCATCCACCCAAGAGCCAATGCAGGACAGACACAGGTGTGTGTATGTGTATGTGTGTGTGTGTGTGTGTGTGTGTGTGTGTGTGTGTGTGTGTGTGTGTGTGTGTGTGTGTGTGTGTGTGGGTGTGTGTGTGTGTGTGTGTGTGTGTGTGTGTGTGTGTGTGTGTGTGTGGGTGTGTGTGTGTGTGTGTGTGTGTGTGTGTGTGTGTGTGTGGGTGTGTGTGTGTGTGTGTGTGTGTGCGTGTGTGTGTGTGTGTGTGTGTGTGTGTGCAGAATGTGTTTGAGTGGAAGAGAGGCGATGCAATAATCCAAAAGGACAGAACTTGTGGATGAGGTGAGGATGGGGTCAGACGACTAGAATAATTACTGCCCCCGTTCCAAATCAGCGGTGTCACTGGTGGCAGAATATAATTCCCATTTAACGCTCCGTTTAGCTCCAAAACGCCAGCTCAGTGCAGTAAATATGATCTGGATGGCAAAAAAATAGTGGATGTGAAATAGTAGCAGCTGTGTATGTTGTGTGTGTCTGTGTGTTTGTGTGTGTGTGTGTGTGTGTGTGTGTGTGTGTGTGTGTGTGTGTGTGTGTGTTTTGCTCAGAGAAAAATGCTGTTGAGGGTAAAATTTGATGAAAGCTGACAGCTAATTTATGAAGCATATTTTAGGGTTAATGATTTTCCTAATCCTACATTCATTCAGTCTACACTAGTAATTGGATTGTCCTAACTTTCAAGGTAGTGAATTGGAAATAAACTAGTTGATGGACGAGTGACCAACAATGTGCGTGTCAATGTGTGTGTGTTGTGAGTAAATAAAATAGCTTATTCATCAAGTGTGTGTTAGTATGGACACACTATGGGCCCTATTGTACTCTTGTTGCAAAGCATCTTGGCTCTCAGCGCAGGTGTGAGACTTTCTTTAACCTGACACAGTTGTCATGTGTAAAAAGCAAATGAGCTTGCATCCCAAATGCCTGTTAGACACAAAGGTAAGCACAGCAAAGCCCCTGCAGCTCACTCAATACTTTTTTGAATGTCCTAAAACATTTCAATTGAGTTTTGATGAAACAGAGGGCTGACAGAAGCGCCCTCGCCTTATACACGGCTCAGAGCCTTCCTCATTACTCTCGTCTGCTGCACACACTCCTCTGAACCCACTCAACTACAACACTAACCAAACTTACCTGATCGTGGACAAGCCAGACGAACTAATGCAAACCACACTGACAGAGAAAACCTACTTGGCTTCACTTAAAATAACACAACATCCAAAAAGACAGAATCCATCAAATCCAATGCAAATGAATGCAATCCAAGTTCATCTATGGAAGGAATGAGCCAACAAGAACAGGAGTCTACGTAAAAATGCAGAATCTGGATTTTGATTTTGATAGTGGGAGGGCATTGGAGTTTAATCAGCTTCTCTAGCGTTTTTTCACCAACATTGCTTTATGAAGTAAAACAGTCCCTGTTGGAGAAAAAAGAGGTGGAATGCAATCCTGAAACCCATCGGCACACATCTAACAATGATGTAGCTTTAATTAATCTAAGAAAACAGATATATGCATACACATGTAGCTAATAATTATGCAGACATTTAGGGTTATTTAAGTCCACTCTGTAGTATCCCCCACAGAGGGAGATTGGAAGAGAGTGATTAATTTCTCATCAAATCCTGACAGTGTGACAGAAAGAACATCCTGCCTGTCTCAGTGTGCTTGTTTTAAAGTCTGCGGTGAATAAAGATGCCATCCTCAGCTCTCACCTGGAGTGTTGAGCAGTCTGGACATGCGACAGCTGTAGGCGATTTGCTGCTCACAGCTTTCTGCACTGGTGGTGATGGCTGTCATCTGGAAACAAGCACACAGATGTGTTTGTCATTCTGGATGATTAAGCCAAACGGGTCAATTTCATGTTACAATAAATTCTTAAGCAGCAATATGAGGCAACATGCTCTCTAATGTGGTTTTTATTTAACTTCATGTCATTTAGAAGTGTTGAAAATTGAGCACGTGATGCAGGAAGTTGTTACACACAATTATGAACTGCTAGTTAATTTGTTTGTTAATTATGAAGTTGAGAAGTCCAACCAGAAGAACATTACAGTTACCTGTTACCAATACATTTGCACACAAAAATGTTAAATTATTACTTGTAAACCTTCAACAGGCACCAAAAACACAGAGCTGTTTCACTGGAAAATAATGTAATTTGACTAGTTTAAAATATATTTTGTGCATTTTATTTTGTCTACACACTTGAGAAAGTACACACTAAGGTAAGAGTGGTTATAGGTAGGTTTACTTATATAGCCTGTTAAGACTTATCGTAGTACAAGGCTTGGGATTACGATGGAGGATTAGGGCCATGTTTTATTTATGTTTTTACATTTTGTGATTAAAGACGCAAATTAACGAGAATAAAGTTGTAAATTTATGAGATTAAACTCGTTAAATTAAGAGAATAATCTCTCATAAATCTCGTGAGCAAAGTATTTTCCTCTGCAGAAAACTTCCTCCAACTCAGTGTGGTTCTTTCTTCAGTTTCTTCAGTATCTTTTCAGGGTGCTGATATTTTAAAGACAATGTGAAGATGATGATGTGCCAAAAGCATGTGTAGTTTCATATCTGCATAAGTAAAGCCCCAACACAACTATTAGTGTCTGTTATCGGTCTGCCTTGTTAAAGTGTCTCATGTGCAGAGCCAGTTTGTGTCCTGTTCATCATTTTAAAGATAAACAAGGGGTTGAAGTGAAAACTTCTCTTGAACTAACTGTTTTTACCGACTACACAAGGAAGTAGCCTATTTCCTTATTAGTGAAACCTTTAGGACAAGATGCTCCATGTTTGTCATTTGAGAACAGGATGCTGATATAAACTAAAATAACCACTTTATTATTTTATTCTTTAAAGACTTTAAGAGTTCTACTTTCATTATTTTCGCGCAGGCTGGTCTCGAACTCGTTAATTTACGAGATTAAACTCGTAAATTTACGACTTTATTCTCGTAAATTTACAACTTTAATCTCGTAAATGTACGACTTCAATCTCAAAATAAAAATAAAATAAAAATTTGAACGTGGCCCTAATCCTCCATCATATGGGATAGCCTCAGTACCTCTACCAATTTTTTTTAAAAACGAGAAACTTAAAATGAAGATGCATATGAAAGATAAACTTTAATTCACTTAGTTTTGAAAAAAAATCACAAACTGCCTCCTGTTGAGGAAAACTAAGGAGCTTTTGATCAGCAAACAAATGAAGGCATCCAGACATAACAGAACATGTTGGTAAAGTGTAGCAGGATGAATATGGCTGCAAAAATCAACTAAAAACAGAGTTGGAAACTGACCTTTTTGACAAAGGGGAAAATACAACTACTAAATAATGTGTTATTGTTTGACCATTGTATTTTCATAATAAAAACAGAACTATGACTCAGATCAATTTATTCTGTATATATTTTTTAGCTTTACTTCATAACATCTACAATGAAAATGTTACAATAAGAGACACAATAATCCGTGTGCATTCAGCCTACCAGTGTGTGTGTGTGTGTGTGTGTGTGTGTGTGTGTGTGTGTGTGTGTACCTGGTCCATGGAGGTGCTGTAGTTCACCTGTAGGACGGTTCGCCTCTCTCTACTGGAGCCAGTCACTGTGGTTTTTGGGGGCAGGTTGTTCATCACTGTTGTCCACACTTTGTCCTCTACACACCCCAAAAAAGTATTCAACATATAAGCAGGTCAATAATTATTCTTCAAGTCGTAAAATTTCAAGAAAAAGTAATACCTTTGTAAAGAAGTTAAGAAGACTTTTACAGAGATGGTGGTATAGAAACACACACATGCACACCCACAAACACACATAAACGTGCAGATTAGCTGTCATGGCGGTGAAGTTATTTCTGTGTGATCCAGGTAACAGCTCAGACTCCAGGGTTTAATCGACACTGTCTGTGCTGATATAACATGAACCAGTCACTCACACTCGCAATATCTGATTCTTTCAAACTGTCAGTCAGGGACCGTGTGTGTGTGTGTGTGTGTGTGTGTGTGTGTGTGTGTGTGTGTGTGTGTGTGTGTGTGAAATTCAGCTTTCTAAGGTGTGTGTACGTGTCAGAGAAAGAGAAGCTCTTCACATTTGTGAGGTGTGTGTGTGAGTGTTATTCAGTGTGACTAAGGGGCCAGCTAGCAGAGTGCAGTGACATGTCATTAAAAGTCTTTGAGAGAGCTTTGCTCTGCTGTGAACTGGAGCACTCTTAGGTTTGCATGACTGGTCCCTTTCATTTGTGTCTATGTGTGTGTCTGAGGTGGCTGAGTTAAGTTAAATGTCCGTCACTGTGACCATGTTGCCATGGAAACCCCAGGTATGGCAGGTTAAGAGTGCTATAATTGTCTGAGGTTAAGAACAAGTATGGCTGGAGTTTCCTTCCTTCACAGAAACTCTCTCTCTCTCTCACACACACACACACACACACACACACACACACACACACACACACACACACACACATACGTAGATGTACCAAAAATAAAGGAACACAGAGACAGAAAGCCACTCCCTTCCCACCCACACACACCTGTCATGTTGCAATTGACTTTAAAGGGGCCGAGGGGTCCGCTGCCGTCAGGGTCGATCCAGTAGGTGTCAGATGATCTCCCCAAATGCTTATAGGCTTCACAGGATGGCTCATAGATAGCTGAGGAAGAGGAATAGGGACAGATAAATAAAGGTGAAAATGAGCAGTTGTAGGCGCAAACAAGAAACATATGAGGTTATGATTAGGGCTGATTGACATTAACATTAATTTCATTTTCAAGGTCCACATTAAACATACTGCTACAGTGGTTAATAACTGCCCATGAAACAGATGTAATAAGATAACTATGTCTCCAAATGACCCAGAAAAATAAACCAGTCCATGAGTGCCTGTCAGTCAGATTTTAAGAAATTGATAAACAGTTTGTTCTCGACACAAGTTGACAGAGACACATTTATACAAGTTGTGCAATGTTTTCCACATCAAACCACGTGACCATCAATGTTGCATAAATAGACTCAAAAATGTGTAGATTGATCCACTAATGCAGATCTGCAAACATGTGGACCAATTTGTAATGTGTAATAACTTTAAATGTCTGAAAGGTCTTGAAATGTGAGCTGAATATACACACACTTCATCATTTGAATCTGAGACTCCCTCTCACGTGGCAGTCTTTATTCACACATTTCTAAAGCAATAAACAAATGTGTGTGTCAAGGCCTGATTTGGCCCAAAAACAATACTGCCGAAACATTTCTCTTTAATCTTCTCTTAGAGGAGAACAATATTTGTAACATGGAGGGAAGGGGAATGGACATTCTTGTATTTTTAAGCTTTTTTTTTCTCTCTCTGACTCTGTTCTCTGTGTGTCCTTTGTTTTGGGGTGCGTTCGGTCGGGTTGCCTCTAGTCAGATCAGAACAAAACACACAGCCCGGCCTGTGAACACTTCAAAAGTCTATCGGTCCCTCTGCTGAGGCTTTGGAAGGTGGGAAACAGCTTAATCGCTCGAAGGAGAACAGAGGAAATACAAATGAAACAACAAAGACAGTGCTGTTAAAGTGAGAGAATACAAAACAAAGAAAAACAGCTGCTTACACAGACTGTCACACTTACATGTGTGACAGGTGGCTCCTGTGTATCCTGTTCCGTCACAGGTACAGCTGAAACTGTCCCATGTCTGTTTACAGCGACCGCCATGTTCACAGTGATTAGGCATACATCTGGAGAGAGAGAGAGAGAGACACACAAAGGGTTAAAAAGAGTGACTGCTATATGGCTGTAAAAAGACTATACACCCATGAATCCATTCAAGCATAGGTATGACTTGTTGATCTAATATGAGGATATCTGACCCAACTGCCGCTTTTTACATCCACAAAGTGTGCTTCAAAGACAACGGATTGTATCGATCCGAGACACTTTTGTTAACTTAAAAGTGTGAAACAAAGAAAGGAAAGACATCTAAAATTGTGACACACGACAACACAACAATGAAATGTAATTGCTGAATCTGAATGCCAATAACTGACTGCACATTTGAGTGTTTCCCTGACCATTAGATTATTAGATACAACATGTGGACGCAGCAAGGCTAGAATTACTGAGAGGCAATTATGAGCTGCAATGAATCATGACTTTGTATTTCGACTTATTCATCGTGTGATGACCCAAAAGACATATCAATGGTTACAAACAAACTCTTTTCTGCCAACAATTTTCATTTTGTTTTCAAACACGACGTGAGAGACCTTTTATTTATTACAAAAGCAGGTTGGAAGTTTGAGTTCCTGAGCAAGAAAAAGCAAGAAAGATTTAAGTGCAAGTCTGTATCCACACTGACCTGGATTTAGGAGTGCAGTGAAACAAAACTGTATCACCCACATCAGTGTGAATTCAGAACTACTCACTCAGCAGTAAAGACATCGCTCTTGTTCTCATTGAAAATTTAATAGCACCTCAAATCAGGAGCACATCAAATGTCTGTGGTTTGATCTGCCTGCAGGCATGCTGTTGATGGACCCCACGGTACTGTAAGCTAAGGTTTCACACACACAAACTATCACAGCAACTTGCACACATGTACTCATGCAAAAGTAATGTGATTTAAATATCTGTGTGTGCTTATTTGAATGAATCAAAGTGATGTTAAGTGGAAAGCCAGCTGGAGGGAAAACAAACAGTGACTCAGAGGAGCTGCAGGGGTTCTCTTTTAAATGCTCAGTTCTTCTGCAGACATGCAGGGAGTCTAGCAGTTAAGCAGCAGAGATATAATTCTTCTCTGAAGAGGGCTGGACAATCATTGTTTTCATATCTAAAGTAGCAAAAAAAGAAAGTCACTGACCGACAAGTGTAGAATTGTAAACGTTGTATGGATATCACTCCATGTGGTTATGTTTAATTACATGCAACATGCGACTAAAACAAAAATAATGAGTATTGGAGAGAACAAATTAATCTGTGCTTTAGGACTGTAATGAATTATCAATTTTCTTGTGTTGCGGGTTCCAGGAAAAGTGCAGGAGCAGTGACGACACAAGAGCATCCAGTTTGCCCTCCAGGTTGCATCTGAGATGTGGGTGGAAGTCCTCACCTGAAACAACCCTGGCACAACTGCTCAGTCACTCTTAGTTCCACTTCAGGTGCTCTCCTGCTTATATGTCAGTATATGTAATGAAACTGCATGTTTAAATGATGTTGAGGCTTGTGTTAGGGGTTTTTAAGTCGCTAAGAAGTACCAATGTACCAATTAAATCCAAAATCAACACAAACGTGGTCACACATGTTGGATGTGCCACACACGCAGTTAAGCATAACACGTGCTGATAAAACAGTTTTGTGCTTTAACAATGAGCTACTATTGACAAGCACTGACACTCGCAAAAGTCATTAAACTATTTGTGACTAGTGAAGACTCCACACTGCATCTCCTCTGTTCTTATGACAAAAACTGAGACCCCATTAAGAGAATGGAGCATTTTTAGATTGTATATGTGCTTTTATATGCTGAAGTTTAATCTGCGATGGTGACACCATGGAATATTGAGATTTGATGTTAGTGTGTTAGCTTGCGTTAGTGTGTTAGCTTGCGTGTGTGGGTATGTGTATGTGCTTCGTCCATCGCCCTGTAAACGGTGCATCTTTGAAACAACATTGATCAAATGGAGGTCAGAGAGGGCTATTGAGCTGCTGCTACAAAGACATGATCAGATAGATGGTAACGCTGCACTCATCCATCTTCCATGGCAGGACGTGGTCCACCTCAACTCTTGCATCGATGACCCATGAAGTCATAGAGATGGAAAATAATGAAAGTAGCAATTGTGCACATCTTAGCACCTTCCCAGGTGTTTGTTCTAAAAAAATGAGCTCAGCGAGCCTCTTGTATACATTAGCAGCAGCTTTACAGCACAATTTGCAATAATACAAATGTCATACTACATTACCTTACATCAGCAAAGCGAATTCAAAACTAATGATAACAGAAGGGGGCCTGCAATGCAATAGAATGGAAATTACAGCAATGTAATTAACTTCCCAAAAAAAGAAGAAAAACACAATATATCTTTGCAGGGGGGAGGTTCATTGCATTATTTTTTGGTTACACTGGAAAGCATGTTTTTTTCAAAGAGAAAACCCTAAAAATCAACTTAACTTAATAAGTAAGACAATATCAGCGTCTGGCTGGTAAACAACATTTTCTCGCAGGAAATTATGATTGGGCTTCATGTCTGCAGGCTGTGCACATTAAGCAACAATATGTCAACAAATCCTGTATATAAATTAAGAATTTCTTTATTTCAGTTTTGAGTTTACAGCTTTTTTTCTGCTGCCTCCAAGTGGCCAAATAATCCAGCAATGAAGGAGGAATCTTCCAATTAACAAAGTCACAGTCACATCTCTCAAACATTTTAGTGTGCACATAAAAACACTGAAGATGTTCTCGATTTTTTTCTTCTTTGAAAAATCTGAATCAAATCTTTACCTGCAGACTCTTCTTAGATCTTTCATTAATAACTCTAACCTTTATTGTCCTTCTATGTTTCTATCTTTATTATCTCATTGTCAATACGTTTTGTCTTCAATTCACTATTTTCTCATACAAAAAACGCCAATTATCTTTATAACTATAAAACAGTTGTGTTTATGAAAGACTTAATGCAGTTGCTCAGAGTTTATCATTTACTATTTCTCTGAGTGTCGCCACAGATTTAATATGTTCTTAACTCGATCCCAGCAAGCATGAGCTCTCCTGAAATAAGGACAAAGTGGATCTAAATCAAGCAGATTCAGCTGGTGTCTACTTCTAAGAGAAGAAATATTGATGACGGTAAGTGTTATCGACAAACTTCACCTTCTAATTGTAGCTTCCCAGCCTTGTTTTACAAGTCCTAATCAATGTTGAGATCTTTTTTGTGTCCATAACATGACTGAAACCTACTTACAGTAATTCGTTTTTAACACAGGACTCGGTTTGATCCCCAGAAGGTGAAACTTCGGATTCAGTGTAGAGCGGTGCTCAAGTAGAGCCAAAGACATGGATGATTCCATATGGCAAATCCGTCCAAATGTGTTTGTTGACTCGATGACAAGAAAATAAATTGAAATGTCAATGAGTTGTAATAAATGCTGTCAGTGAGCCGACACTGTGGCGTGCTGTGCAGAGTCTCCTGCTATGTTAGATTGGCCAAAGGAAAAGAGAAATGTTTGTCTCATTTTTTATGTTTGGTTGAGAACATAATGTGTTCTCCAACGATGAAACCTATTACCTACAAACCTACAAAGGCTCTGCTTAAGACTCAACTTACACAACTTCTCATTTGAAACCATTTAATGTATGACACGTTGTTTAAACTCTTTGTATAATGACTCAACGTGTATTTTTTATTGTGAATATAAGTGCAAGCAGGAATGATCACTCTTACCTGTCTATGATTGCACACATGTCCAGGCTGACGTTCTCAAAAGCTCCCATGGTGCCTTTCTCTACAGCGTGCAAATCAGCTGGTTGGTCGTCCAAAAGGATCGCTTGCATGCAGCCCTGGAAGGAACGCAGGGAGGGAGGGAACGGCGTCTGGAGGAAATACCCTGGAACAAACAGAAGACATGAATAAATAAAAGCAATTAGACTTTAAATTAAAAGGGAACTCTATTATAAGTTTTTTACTTTCATCAGTTCCTGGATTCGGCATGCTTTTTGTGCAAAGGCTGCAGCCTAAAAATGTGTGTACTAGTTGTGATAAAAGGCACTTGTAACACTTTAAACATTCATTGTGAAGGACTGGGACAAACACTCCAATAAAAGTGATCTATTGCTGCTACTTGGAATTTCAGGTGCTGCACCAATATCCAAACAATGATAAGAGAAAGGGAGACTAATACCTCACTGTTAATCACCTTAAGAGATCAACACAGACTCATGTTTCCTAGATAACCAAGATAAACAAGACAGCATAGATGTATAGATGGATTTGTATAGTTTTGCTCTATTGCTAAACTGACACTTCCTGGAAAGAGGGTTTAAATAAACAACAAGACAGCTGAAGACAGGTGAACTTTGGGCAGCAGCAGCTCAGTCTGTAGGGACTCGGATTGGGAACTGGAGGGTCACTGGTTGCATTATTCCGTGTGTAGCATGTCTCAATAACAGAGCGTAAAAGTCATTTACCCTCTTGGGATAAAAAAACAAATACAAACTGAGCAGGATTTGAGAAGGAGTAGAAGCTGATAATTTTTTTAACATTTAATGGAAAGAGGTGGGGGAATATGACAAGAATGATTCTGTAAAACAATGTTTTAAAGCACATATTGACAAAACAATCTTGTGTAGAAGCAGACATCAAACCTAACAATGGAACAGCTGACCTGCAGGGTGCTCGGTTATTGTCACTTTTTGTGAAACGGTGAACCTCCACCAGCCCTTTTGTTTAAAGGCTTATCCACAAGGTCCATTAGCCTTTATATCAGTGCTAAGGCTGCAATAGATATAGGACATTAAGGCTTTACTATATACAGGACCTTTATGCGATACAAGAGTCAATGGCCCATCCAGAGGTAGCACAGGGCCTTGACTGAAATGGGGACAAGGCTAGGACAAAACTGCACGTGTAACAGTGGGTGTCACGGAGTAAAAGTACATGGACACACGGTAGGCATGAGTGAATTCTACTAACCTGTAGGTATGCATAAAGTATGTGTATACATCTGCAGGTGTTCTTACAGCACATACTGTATGCACAGTCAGCGATAGGAAAAGGGCAGCCGGGATTCAATCTGAGCTACAAACACTCATAAAACACTGGCGCTCAATGACTTCTCCATCATTGTGATGTTATAAGCTGTCATACTCTCCTGCATGCCTGTTAGCCTCGAGGTCAATGCGTCAAAAAGGCTTATTACAGAGGGCAAATGCACACTGTGTGTGTGTGTGTGTGTGTGTGTGTGTGTGTGTGTGTGTGTGTGTGAGTGTGTCTGTGTGGTGGTGTGTGTTTAGGTAGCTGTATGGCGCGTCAGCAAGTAAAAAATAAAATGTCTGCATCTGTGTGTGTGTGTTTGATTCATCCCCTTCTTCACATCTTCAGATTCTCATTTCCTGTCCCAAAAGTTTCTCCTGTCATCTCTACCATCTGCCTCTCCTCCTGCTGTCTTTGGGTGCAGACAGAGAAATGAGAGAGAGAGAGAGAGATGGGAAACAAGAGGGAAGATGGGAAAGGAGAAGACTACAGCTGGTTGGCAGCAGTTTGTGTCCTGTGGATCGCATCTGAATGCAAAAAGAAACGCAGCCGTCCTGACAGCTTGGCAGAGCAAACTGAGCAATGTGTGGAACGATGGATGGATGGACGGATGAAGGTAACAGGGGGGGTTGTGTGCTCTATCTGAATCCCCAGTGGGAATTTTACCCAAATGATCCTATGTGTTTGTTGGGTTTCACTTTTTTGTAGACTCTCTACCAAAATCTTTTCTCCAGAGCAAATTTGCATGCAAATAGAATTCAACTGAATCAGTAGTTTTTCCCTTTTAAATACATTTTGGTTTCAGTCACTACAAAACAATAACATTATGTAAATACATATTGAAAATGTCTTTCCAGAGGGAAAACATTTCCTGGATACAAACTGATCTCTGTTATCCATCACATCATTTTATCCGCCACTCATTATTTAGGAGTGTATTTGAATAACCACTAAACCCACTTTATCGCCATGGAGAAATGAGTAGCTTTAGTGTGCAGGCCCCTTTAGTCACTTTAATTCACCCTGTGAAAAGTCATCTTGGCATTTTAATGTAGTATTCACATTCAGTATTAAATAAATTAACAGGAAATCATTTCATAGTCATAAGTCAAAGTAAAAATGCATGAATGTTTTTTTTGTTTTGATGTCATTTAGGATTCATTCATATTTGACTAATTCATACCCACAAGAAAGCCAAGTTCAAAACGTTAATCTGGTTGTTAAAATATTTTCCAACACTAATGGTCGTGGTCGATCACTCATACTGTAACTGACATCTGCCTGAATCTGCACACAACAGTGTTGCATGTGAATACAGGTGTAAATCATCCCCTCTGCAGTATGTCTAAGTGGTCAGAATCAGATGAAGCAGCAGCCATACCATCTGAAAATTATTGAAAGAGTTGAAATGGGATGCCATTATTTGTTCTAAATCTATGAATGCTAAATGATAGCTCCTTAGTGCTAGCCAGCGCCTTATAACGGTCTTACACTCCTTGGGTGACAATCAACATCAACCGCCAAAAATTGATCATCAGCAGCTTAAAATGATCTCCTGCAGCTGGTGGTACATAACTGTTGGTGTCATCTTTAATATTCACTCACAGACTGAGTTATTGGTGGTTGCTAACAGCTGCACATTGGGTCCGTCTCCGCTCTGTTGCGGCAGATGAGTTTGATAGGTTTTGACTTTGTTCAATGTGTGTGCTTTCACTGCCTCCGCTGCACTGAATCTCAGCTCCGGCTGTCCAGAGGCCTCTCCAGCAGGTACGCAAGGCTTTTATCTTTGCCGGATGCAGAACCATCAATTTACCACAGAGCAGATCAAGTGGGGTGGGACGTCAGACACCGAAACATTTTCAGAATAAAAGGCCATTTTGACGGTTGGGAACAATGACAGTGTATTTATTGTTGTGTATGAGTGATTTATACGGTTTGATACCACATACATCATATTATCTTGTGCTGTCGTGCGTAATTACTGCGGGAACTCCTTGGTCTTGGGACTCAGCTGGAGGTGCTGCTCCATGCTGCGCTCTGACAACGCCGCCTGACGGACGAGGGGAGAACCAAGGAGCTGACAGGCAATGCACACAAATTGTATTGTTTTTTTGTATAAATATTCAAACTTAGTCATGAAAAACATCAAACCCAATGTCTTAAAGGCTTTTAGAAACTTGATAAAGTTTAATATAGGATATTCTTATTTCGTGCAATCCTCCCAATAAACAATGGGATTTATTTCATGAAAATGCCATTTTTCTTTTTCTGTGCTTTCCACAGAAAGATATCATTGCATCACTCTGACAGCTGTTATACAGCTGCAGTGACAGACCTAAAAATACAGACAAAGATAAATGAAGCAGAGTCCGAAATACACTCTGCAAACAAAGCAGAGCTGTGTTCATACATCTGTTCCTCCTCCAGCTATCACACACACCAACACCTTCAATCCAAGCTAAGGATGTTTGACCATGTTGTATTATTGTCTGAATGCAACAATACTGTGATGTTTTCATTTTCAGTATAAACAAAAGCTCCCATAACCCCTTGGGAATCTGGAATGGCAGCGATAATCTTCTGTAGCCTTGCTGGCACTCTATCACCACCCCCCTGTGGTGCCAAAAGAGCTTCCTTTTTACGAAACACACGGGAAGACCAGCGACCTCTCTCTGCTGCACGAACACCACCTGACTGGCATGGCTGTCCCACAGGATACAGAACACTTGTTTCCACATCCAAACACATTTATGAGGAAGCATCTGCACTGGAATTAAGCCAAAATTCTCTTTAGAAAAAAAAAAGACAAATATCCCAAGGATGCAACTCCAAAATATATTCTAACAAAAGACAAAACTGATGCCAGACCAGTATGTAGATTTCCTCCTAATCCAAATGATCCCAGAGGTATTTCCCTATTTTGGGGCAAAGAAAAGGCAAAATGTTCAACAAAGACTTAACACAAATAACCACAATAGTGTCAAGGACAAGATCTACTTGCTGTGGTAACGATTCCACATTAACAGTCCTGTATGCACTAGCTTAAGTGTATTATGCTCATGGATGAATGGAATAGGCTGCTTTTTGATAAATGTGGGTGTCGGCCTCATGTCAAATTCATCACAAGCTTTAAGTTGACGGTCATCAAAATAGATATCCTGTTTGATATTAATGCTTTTCAAGCACTTTCATTTTATTATGAATTCATTAAACATGATATGTGTGCTCATGCTATTGCAAATTAGATTTTGTATCCACAGAAATCTGTTGCTTTTTGTCCATCTTAAGTAGCACAGTGAGACAACCTGACCAGTAGTTGGTAGAAACAAGGTACTCTGCCAGAGCTCACTAAAAATAAAACTGCCAAAATTCTTCCCAAATCTAAAGTTAGAAACACTGCGATCTTACCCATGCACACATTCCTTTAACTGACTAACCATTAGTCGTTGATGTGTGTATATTTCAAAGCCTAAATAGGACCGTTAGCTGTTAATCAGCTAATTTAGCCTCTTGTTTTTAACACTCTTACATTATTTGATGCCAATCCAAACCATGTGCTTTAATTAAATGTGTGTGCAATTATGTGTACATGATGTATGTAGGACCGTGTATATGTGGGGGCGTCAAGCTTCAAAATAATTTGAATTGGTGTTAATGTGCTCTAATGTGGTAAAGACATGCTTCATTTACATTTAGCCACAGTGGAAATAACGCAAATTGAAGAACATAGCAACAGATAGATAGTACAACCCTCTTTTCTCTGATATCCAAGCGAGACTTCTCTATTCATGTCTGTATACATGTTCTCACTACCGACTTGTCAAGGCCCTTAATGTAGCTATTGATACTGACTATCAATACTCGGCATGTGTAGAGCTCAGGGTTGGACTATTCAAAACTGGATGGACTTCTAACATAGAGCAGTCAAGTACAGATCATAATGAAAGACCATTCCCATATTCTATAATATGCATCCAAATGGAGAGACTGCAACCTAAAACAAGGTTTAAATGGTAGCACCATTACCTTATAGTAAAATGAGTGTATCATAATTAGCATGGTTTAGCTGTAGTCTATTTTGTTGGCAGTAGCAGTGTGTTTTTTTGCCCAGTGTGTCTGGTTCAATGTGTGGTCACTGCTCAACAACTGCTGCCAATGAAAACAGCAGATTGATGCTCTGAAGCCATGAGATCTGAAGCAGATGGCTACCTGGAAGACTTCATTATAAACAACCTGAAGACTTGTTTTGTATATAAAAGAAAATAGATTGTTCATGATGCTGAGAGGTTTGTGCTAATTGTGGCACGTTGACAGATGAGTCGCATTCAGATAGAGAGTGCCGATGGAATACTGTTAAAAAGCTTGTGGACAACTTAATGTGCTCCGCCTTTTTTATCTCATCCGGCTGAGCGATCACAGAGACGAACTGAGGGCGAGCCACAGGCTAAACTATGTTTTCAGCTCTCTCTGTATGACTTACAGTGATGCTGTGACAGAAATTAGACAATATATGGTATGTGGTGCACTGTAAATTCTGCATACATCTGAATTCTATCTCAAGTGGGTTTTTATTCTTATTTTTCCTGAGGAAAATGTGGCCCAAACACCCAACATACAAATAGATGCAGATGGCTGGAGGCCCCCACTGTAAATCAGTGATAATGGGAAAGGCATTAAATACAATGAGGGAAAAATCTGGTCAAATAACTGGAAGACCGACCAGAGATGAAACAGAGATTAAAAACAAGCAACACTTCACATACCACCACCCAAAAAATAAATCTAAATTCTGAACAGAAAATGGATTTTAGAAAAGTGTTGGCTTAAGTATCATTTCCCACTGCTTGCCACAGTAATAATCAGCTGTTTCCAATCGCCTGCAGCCATCAAACTTTTGTTTACCGCCACACTCTCAGCTACTCTGAATTCTTAATGTTGTTTCAAAATAACATGTAAAACTCAAGTCACAGCCACAGCTGCTTCAGCCCACACACTGCCACTCTCAGCAGGGGGAGAACACTTCCACAAAAACATATTCATATTTCTCTGAAACATTGCACAGCACTTTTCTAGTCTTCTTACTACTCAGTGCGCTTTTACACCACAAGTCACACCTACACATTCACACACTGATGGCTGAGGCTGCAATGTAAAGAGTCCTTCAGTATTAACTAATCCATTCATACACTTTTATCTGCCGCAAACGAAGCAGTGGGAGTAACTTGGGGTTAAGGACACATTGGACATTTGGCTGCAGGAGCTGGGGATCGAACCCCTGACCTTTCCGCTCTCAAACAGAAGGTCGGGCGGAAGAGAAAACTGACTCAACCACTGCGTGAAAGCCATGAACAAGTCTATCTTTAAAGTATGAGACTCCGAGGTTTATGTCACATTGTCACCCTTCCTCCCACCATCTCAGCTTTTATGAAACCCTTTAACACATGAACTCAGGCCTGTTCTTTTTCTTTTGATTAGACAGACTTCAGACCGCAAGAAAAAGTCTGCATAATGTCAGGGTGAACAGATTCTGCAGTTGGCTTTCACACGTGCAGTCCACCCTAACAATGTCTGTACATTTTCAGGAGTGTAGTTCATGTGTGTAAGGGGCTGATATTTATAGGTTTCTCTCCTTTTTCTTGGTCACTCTTATGAAACTGCTATCTTTCTTTCAGTCTGAATTTCCAATCAGAAAGGTTCCTTGACTCTTTACTTATCTTTTTAATCTCTCTCTTTCCAGTTCATGTCTTCCTTTCTCTCAATCTCGGCATGTCTATCTCTGTCTTCTTCAAGGGGTAAAGACATCACACAGATCCTCTCCTTCCAGCCACTATTGATCCTAACTCAGCTTACCAAACTCAATAAATCAACAATCGGATCAAAGGGAGACTAGAGGGTGAGGGGGAAGAGAAGAGGAAAAAAAAAAACGATCAAGTTTGGGTGTGAGAGGAAAAAGTGATTCCAAAATATGAAGTGTTCATATTTCAATTAATCTGTAAGAGGGCAGATTCAAGAATCCAAGAAACCCACAGAAGCTTTAAAATGTTGACCTTAAAAGTTAAAACACTCTTAAAAGGTAAGAGGTTCTGATGGCTTTCTTACTGAATACAGTGAGCATAGAAAGGCCTCACAAACGTTGTCATAACTTGAAAGGATGTGTGGATCCTGTAAAGGCTTTTAGAATGAATCAAGTTTGTTTAATGCATTAAATTCTATGAAAAAATGCTAACATGTGTGTGTGTGTGTGTGTGTGTGTGTGTGTGTGTGTGTGTGTGTGTGTGTGTGTGTGTGTGTGTGTGTGTGTGTGTGTGTGTGTGTGTGTGTGTGTGAGCGCTGTGGTTCTTATTGACTGGCCTGGGGAAATGGTTAAGCCTGATGAGGGAGATTGCCCTTGATAGACTGAGAGGGAGAGAGGCCCAATGGTGCAATCAGAGCACAGACTATCTCTCACAGTTACTGTAATTTCATACAGGTGCCCACACACAGCCAGCACACACACACACAAAGTCACACATGCCCACTTTCTACGGACCATTTTCCAGCAGAGGGAGAGCGGTGTCGGGCATTATCAACCTGGCGTTTTCTTAATTCAGACAGATTATGGCTGCTGTGTGTGTCTGGTCTATGTGTGTGTGTGTGTGTGTGTTCCCCTGTGTATGAGAGTGTGTATCTGGTGGTCTAGTTGTGTCTGCATTGTTCTTGCTGAGAGAGTTACTTCCTGAACTTTAGCCACTGGGATATAGATTTCAACTGAGATAAATAATGTGTCAAATTAATTATTGTCTATAAACACACGCACAAACACAAACACACACACACACACACACACACACACACACACACACACACACACACACACACACACACACACACACACACACAGAGATGGACAGACAGAGATGGACAGACAGATATATAGACAGACTAAGACAGGAAAGACTTCAGCTGGTAGAGTTCATAACTTCACTGAGCTTATTTTCACAGCAGCACACTTTTTGAAAATACAAACCTAACTTAGTGATGTTCTCTGAAGCAGATAACATGTTCATTCACATGTTTGTGTGTGTGCAGGTTGTGTCATTTTTACTAATCAAGCCTATACTGTACAATACACAACAAAGCAAACAGAGACTGAAGATCCCTGATTTTCTTTTTTTGCAAGGTTTATGAAGCAGGAAGGTTAGACTGACCAAGACCTCAAGGGATGTATATGGGATGCTTTTTTCCTGACACTGTCCCCTTTCACCTCCATGGGCGTACTGACCATGTTGCACTCGGATGCCTCTTGATGGGAACTTGACAGGAATTTGATGGGATGTCAGTGGATGCAGAATGAAGTGAAGGGTGTTGGGGGTGACCCTTTACCTCCCAAGTGATAGGTTCCTCCTGTGGTGATGCTGAGAGGTGAAGTGGAGCTCACAGCAGACGCCTCCTCGCCGTCTATCGTCAACATGGCAAAGTTCTCCTTGGCGACCAAACGTATTGAGTGCCATTGGCCGTCGTTAAGGCTTGAACCTATAGAGGGGGGGGCGGATGTAAAGATTGATTCAGAAAACACATACTCTGTAGTTAAACTATAGGCACGATGTTGTATAAAGTGCAAAACTTCTCAGAGGGTTGACACAGGAAATGTCTGCAGACTTTAACTTCTACTTGACACAATCATGGCACACCTGCTGTTTTTGTTATTTTACCATGTTTGGCCTGGTAAATGTGGATTTAGGAATGGTTAAGACATGGCAAGAAAAAGAGGATTAGCATGTGCTCTAATAAATATGCCAATGCCCCCTCAATTTTTTTAATTCTGTTTTTTCTCACTCTGTCTTTATTTCTTCCGTTTTCAAAGCTGAGACCAGCTTTTAGTCTCAAAGCCCCTGAGCCTCAACTCACTTCCACTCACACTCCCTATTTGCGTCAGAGAACCAGAGTGCATGCGTGTATGCTCTCTTTATGTGTTTGCAAGCTTTGGGCACTGTACAGTATGTAAGTGCGTACAAGTCTGTAATGTGTTGCGTTGTCTGCGTGTGTGTGTGGCTTTGTGCATGCAGGTTTTGTACTCTCCTGTACTCTCTCTTCTCTTGTAGATTTGCTCCATTAAGTATGAGTGATGTTTTAGAAGAGGACATTACTACTGGAGCCGAGAGAGAAGCCAGCTCACTCTCATCAACTTCTTGTCTATACATCACCTCTTACTGACACAAATCTCTATCCATCCTCTCTCCCTGCTACCTCTCTGTCCCTGATTCTTTCCCCTGTTTTTGTCTATATTTCCTGTCCTGTAAAGCTGCATTTTACATTTCCCCTTCCCTTCTTTTTTCTGTACTATTCTCCCTTGTGGCTATTAGCAGCAAGTCCATCTTTTTCAATCTCGGTTATGCTTACTGCTTCAGAGGCTGGGATACATCCATGGCGATCATTTGCTAATCAGTAGCAGCAGAGTGCATTGACTTATGCACCTGCTTTTAAGTCAATACACATAAACCTAAGCATGTTGCATGTGTCAATACATCTGACCTGTGTGCATCAGCTGTGTGTGTTAGCTTCTTCTGCACCTTTGCATTCTATGTGAGTGTCATGAGGAACACTTTTGCATGGATTATTTATTTTCTGAAAGCACCTGGAGACTCTATAGCTTTCAGTAGAGAGTCTCCACTAATTGATCTCCAACAGGGCGACTGTGCGCGCGTGTGTGTGTGTGTGTGTGTGTGTATGTGTGTGTGTGTGTGTGTAGATGTAAAGGCTATGTGCATGTGTGTGTGTCAGTTCTTAGCAATGACCAGTGTAACTAACGGCCGAGATGGCTACCTTCTGAGATGGTCGACCACTGTGGCCTTGTTCAAGGCTACGCTGGTTAAATATGCAAAAAATGCTATAGAAAATACCAGTGGGACGAGGCCTGTAGCCTCTGCACATGGAATGTCTCTGCTTAACCAGCACTCCAGAAAGTCAATCTATCCCACCATGACCCATGCATTCATGCACAGTTACTTCCTGCCACCCCTGCAGGGTTCAGTCAGTGCCCCAGTTGGGCCTCCAAAACTGAAATAGTCTGGACACATCCATGGGTAAAAGGCAACCTTGATGTGTACCAGCATTCAAACTTGTGACTGTATATATTGGTTTGATGTTATCACTATCAAGCTCTCTGCTCCATCTGCTCCCTGTCTATAACCTCTTAAATGTAATGGAAAACAGATACTGTTCAACCTTGTATTCCTAATCTGTTCTACATCACCTGCACCAGCTTTAAATGATGAGCTGATCAATGATAGCAGGGTGCAATCTTAACTTTCCCCACAGCAGGGATGCTTGAAAAAAAAAAAAAAAAATTCACATACACAAATGTGTTTTGCACTTTCTCTGTCACACCAACAGCACGCAGGCCCAAATCCGACACATGTTGGCTGTCTGCTGCCGATAAAACGAGCACGATAATGGAGAGAGGAATTTCAATACACAAGCCTGTTTCATGGCTGGCTTTGGTGTTGTCATTCATATGCATGTGACTGACTGCAAGGTGGAAGAGCATTTTCCCTCTGTTTGTGTTTTAAATTTAATAAACTGTGGATTCACCATAGCTTCATCATTTTTTATACTTCTTTTGATAAAAGTAGATTTGCCATGAAAACTCCAAACACAGAAATAGCTCATTAAAACTTCTCAGTCATTGTAGACAGTCATGACTCAGACTGATATTTACGTAGGATTTAATTGATTTATGCTATATATACATATACTGTATATGAGTAAAATGTATTTTTATTTTTAACACTATGCCAAGGCTTTTGTGTAAATACAGATTAAAGGCACATGTTAAAGCCAACTATTTGATTGTACTTTATCCTTTAAAGTCATTTTCTGCTGTTCTGGTGCAGAACAGAAAATAAAAAAATTGGCCAAAACTTGAAGGTAATTAACATCCAGCTGTGGATTAATCATCATCCATGTCTTCCTTAATATGGTCACTGAGGGCCTTTTTGTGCCAGCATCGGTACAAGATACAGATTATACCTCTGGTTACTGTCACACATTTTCTTTTACATGTACAACCAATAAAATGTGTGATTGCATGTGTTTTCAGTGGATTTGTAAACAGGAGAACTGTGCTGCTGGTGTTGCTGATCTGTCTGTCTGGAACACAGGCTTGACCAAGGTTTACTGACGAGAGTCCAGACTAGGATCAATATCTGGGATGAGCTGAGAGCTCTGAGAGACATGGTGCAGCAGAGAGGGGAACTGAGGAATATCAAGGCTGAGCAGCAGAGACAGAGACACAAAGTGGATTGGAGAGAAAGAGAACGCTGACTTTAAAATTGCTTCGTTTGTCCGACCAACAGAGTAAAGGCAGAAGAAAGCTAAGACTTGAGAAGATCAGGGTTTGCAAATTTAGTTTTAAAATGCTCAATAATTAGCAGATACAGTGTATGGTGATGGACCAATCAAATCATTGATGATTGTTTCAACTCCAGATTAGGTTTAACTCAAGAAAAATATTACCTTTGGAAATTTATGCAAATGGAAAAGGTAGTTTATAGAAATGAATATCTTCAAAAAGTTCAATACATAATAGATTGAATGATAATCACAGATCAAATAAATTTTACATCATCAAATCTAGCTTAGAAAACATTTCATATTGATTGCAAGTAACTTACAAATAAGTATATTGATTAAACAGGCACCACACCTACATCTCCCATGTATGTTTTGAAAGCCTGTATGTTATGTCTTAATGTCTGGCAATGATACTGATGTTATGTTTTTTCATGTTTTTTCAATGAGAAAAAATTAATACAAATTTGGTAGTCAAAAAAATAAAGCCTATATCTTACAGCTTCACACAAACCATGCAAAACAAAACACCAGCAGATTGGAAAATTCAATAAAGCAGACTTTTGTTGACTGTATATCATGTGAAGTGCTTTAGAAATTACCAATTTTTTTTTTTTTTGGTGGATTAATACTTCAGGAGGCCTTACTAAAAAGTAATGCCTCACAAAACGAATTCAGTGATGACCGACCGCCCCTGAAAACAAGCGAGTGATTAGAGTAGAGCCAGGAGTGAGTCAACAGTAGCTCCTGAAGAAAATACTGAGAAGGCGGAGAGACTAATTTTAAGGATCTAATCAGAAACATAAGAAGCACCTTTTTTATTTCCAAGGATCTGAAAGTACAGGATTAAAGTGCTCTGAAGGGCTGCTTTTCTGTTTCTCCATAAAGACCATGGGCTCTACTACTTGAACATCTTCAGCATTTCAAGAAGTAATTATTTGTGGTCTGCATTACTGATGAAATGATCTGTACTGTTTTTAATTTTCTCATTCAGAGAGAAGTTTGCTTCTCTTTTTTTTGTTTTTGATTGTAATGAAACTTCAAATGTAAAGGCTTTCTGAGAACAAAGTGTACAGCTTTAGAGATTTAAATTAGGCTTTATGACGTGTGACTATTGTTAAATTAATGAAACCTTTAATGAACAACTTTATTTGGAGTGCATTGTCTTAGCAGCATTTCTCCACATTCATTTGATTGGTTATTTGCCATTTGACTTATTCCATTTCCAGTCCATGACCTTAATCCAAATAATCTAATTACTTTAGCTTTTACAAATTGCAATACAAATAAATGAATACCAAGCTTTAGTATGCATGTACTTAGTGAAATGAGGCCTTTCACTAATTTATGTCCCCCATTTTTTTAATGAAACCCATTCGATTTTTATATACATTATTTATACCATTGCCACTTTAAATGCAAACAAAAGAATACCACTTATGGCATGAACCAACATTACTGGACAGTACACAGGACAGTATAGTACGATCACTCAATGTTGTATCCCAGGCAGAATAAAAGGAGTAAAGTTTGTGAGATGACTAATGCAAATGTAAGGCTAAAACATGAAGGTTCAGGTGTTGTGTGTCTCTTAAATGTTATTTACTGCAATTTGGAGCCACAGAGCTTCTATCAGCATATCAATATTCTTAAGAAAAACTATTTAGCTTGTAGTCCATATATTCGGTCTCTGGACAATCTTAGGTTCTTAAAAAAAGAAGTAGCTACTACCTCTTAAAACTTCTTCGTCCTGCACACTCACCCACACACATTTAAGACATCCCTACAGATTGTGTATCAGCCTTAAAGAAAAGTTAACATTAGTTAAAGAAAGTTAACGGTCAAGATTTTGTCATCAAGATTCAACTTCGTGCCAGAAACACAACGTAGCTGATATGTGGAGTACGAAGACAGACACATTTAATTTTACACCAAATGATAGAAGTGGCTCTGGACGGAGTTTTCTCCACTTAACTCCCAATGTTGTCCTCATCATGAACCTGTCATGTCCTTGATGTTTCCAGAAAGTCCTGATTCAAGCTGCTTTAAAGGTATAGTATGCAACATTTTAAACACTCACACCCAGAGACTCAAACATGTTTCAGTCACGTGAACCCTTCCTGGTCCAATAGTCAGCCTGCCATCCTGTGGCGGAGGAGAGACATCCTCGCCCAACATGGATGCTGTTTGTGACTTTTAAAAAGGTTGTGTTGGCTGGGAGGTTTCTGAGTCTGGTTCTGTTGCCCTCTCGCTTGACTACTTCCAACTTCCCCATGCTGGGTCCAGCTGCACTTTTAATAATGAAATTAGTTGATAGTTGCAGTGAAAGTATTACTCATTTTACAGCAGCTATCCAGCTACTTCAAGTCAAACTTTCTCCTCCTCCTATAAGAAATATGCTTCAGCTAGTTCATGGATGAAATGATTCGACATAGAAATAAATTGTTGACAGTTACCATGCCCTCTCAAAGTCTCCTTTGAGCAACCACCCGCACCATAGCAGATACCCTTTCCCCCCATGGGGCAAAATGAGTCAATCCTTGTTTCAGATCATTTTAAAAAATGTGAGAAAATTGAATCACTGCTAAAACAATATACTTTATGCACTTTTTTGGACTTAAAAGTCAAGATCATAATAATAGTCCTAAAAGTAGTGCGAAAGACAACACTGTCCTTGTGTGTGCTAATATGCGGGTTGATTTTTTTATGTTTTGGTGAAATAGTCAAATAAAAGTTAAAGTGCTGGAGCTTGTTAAATATCTCATTTGTATTAAATCAGACAGAGCTGTGAAATCAACTGTTTAAAACAAAGGTTACAGGCTCTTAACCAAAAACCAGTGAGATGGTCTCTACTTCATAAACTACTGCATATATTTTAATTGGCACCGTGGGCTCCGTTAATGATAGATCCACAAGATGAAACAGAAACGAGAGTTAAGAGTTATTATAGAAGATAGAAGGAAGGCCAGTAAAACCTCATCAGATTCTCAGAGATGGAAGTGAAGCACACTGATTTCACAAAGTCAGAAAAATTATCAAATTACACATGCAGAGGAAACGTAGTTTCTGACTTTTCATGGATATTTTGTCCATGTGTTGTCTACTTGTGAAGCACAGATCTTGGTGTTGAGTCTGGTTGTTATTCCAGATTAACATTTTGCTCCACTTCCCCTGCAGAAGAAAAAAACTGTTCTTTTCCTTTCCCCTCCCATCATCTCTTATCCTTAAAGATCGTCTTTTCTAACCGTCTCTCCCCATCAACTATCTCCTCTTCCCTGTTCCTATTGCATATCGATCCTATTTCTACAATCATATACAATAAAGAATTTATGGCATCCTCTGGCATATATAAATTTATCCTCCTCCTTCTCTCTGAAATATTTGGTCCTCCAAGGTAATTTGGAGAGCTCTGCACGTCCTCACAGGTGCTAATCTGTCAGCCACACAGAGCTTGAATATACAACATTTTAAGCCCTGCTAAACAAACACATATACACAAACAGATAAACACACATATACACAGGCACAGGGACTCACACTGACTGTGGGGAAATGAAACAATATAACATAATCAGGGGTGGCTGTAGTAGTTTTTTTCCCCTTGAATCTGTGCCTCGGGCCTTTCCATTATTGTAATTCCTTGTGCTTTTTATTCAGACTGTGCAAGTAACCTAGTGTGTGTTTGTGTGTGCGTGTGTGTGTGTGTGTATGACTGATGGTCCTTCTGCATCTCAAAGAAACTAATATTATTCATTTTAGCTGGGATGATGGGTTTGAATGCATGCATGACACAACACACAAACACAGTTTCAACATTGCAAAATTTCAGCTTTGCAGGTCGTGGAATCACACAGTTGATGCTGCCCTGTGGTTTTTCTCCCATTCCTCAGTAAGCCAAACAGTCCTTTGAGAATGATTTTTTTCAATGACAAATTTCCCCGGTTGGAGTCAAATAGACTTATTTACAGAAATAATTAATGCAAAAAATGAATGAGCGCAACATGGCAAAGCCGGTGAAAGACTCAATAATGTATAGAAGTAATGATTATTTCCCCTTCTTTCTACCCGTCATTGTCAAATATTATGTTCAAAGGGCAGACAGCTACATCATATTTCCGTGCTCTCTTGAGCTACAGTAAAATATTAAATTCCTGCAACTCTTTATTACTTTTCAGATCTTTTTTCTTTTTAATAATCTAACGGCAGTACAAAAATAAGCCTCACCAATTTGTTGCATGATAACCTCTTAGGAAATTAGATTTGTCTCTGCACAAGCACTCCACACAGTGAGTATTGTTTCCATGGAAACAATGCAGGTGCCAAATAATTTGGTAATTAATGAAGAGGGGGGTCAGAGGAAAGCATCCTCAACCCACATTTTTCCCCCTCTTTTCAGTTTATTGGAGCTTTTCATTGTTGGTCATGTGTTAAATACAGTTTTTTTTTGCTTTTATTAAAAATATCCTTTAGTCCTGCAGTGCAGCCATCAAGGAGATCATTTTCAACACTCACTCTTTTAACGCTGCTATGTACTCTAAATTAACAAATGACTGATGAGAGCAAAGCAGAAGAGACACTAAAAGTCAATGAGTAAATAAAAGGAGAGTGATGGGAAAATTAGATCAAAGTCCCAGCAGGAATCACGACTAAGTACTCTTTAATAACGGACACAGCACAGATACACAAACGGGGCATATCATTAAGAAGCACGCACAGACTAATGTTTCTCTCAAATGTCTCATTGTCCCTGTAGTTTCATCCTCTGTCTCTCTACTGGAGAGGAGGAAGAGGATGAAATGATGGAAGACATCTTAAGGGAGAGAGGAGCATGATCCTGCAGGTCACAAACAGCCTCTGGCATGTTCCTGCCACACAAACACATGACAGACACTGTATGTGTGTGTGCATGCAGGGGGGGAATTAAATCAATTGTGTTTCTTATAATAGTCCAATTTATTGTACCTGTCGCTCTTTCCTAATCAAGAAAATAAACTACTTTAATGACCAATGACAAACGGTTTTAAATAGATATTTAGCTGATGCATTCAGAGATGTAAAGCTTCTTCATCCATGCTCCTCTTGAAGTTTAGTATTTTGAAAGTAATGCTCAGTGCTTCAGAGTACTCTTTGAAGCATTACAATCTTGCTCAAGGACTCTAAAAGAGAACTGTACCCTCTTCAGCAATCAGTCCAAATGTCCAACCCAAGTCCCTATAGGGACTGGGCTATTACCGCCCCAATGTATCTGCTACACGTGATCAGTTTGTATATGTTTAATGCAAAAGATTTCAATTTGCATTAAAAGTCAGATTTTTCAATTTCTTTGCATTGTGGAGCCTTTTTGTATCCTAACTATTGAAAAATAATTTGCACAAACATGATGTAATTTTGGGGCAGTGGTGAGCAGGGTTGCTTCACAGCAAAGACGTTCCTGGTTTCTAATCCTCGTCAAGACATGGCACAGTCCAAAGACATGCTCGTTAGGTTCATTGATGACTCTAAATAGCCTGTAGGTGTGAATCTGAGCGTGGCTGGTTGTCTGTCTGCATATGTCAGCCCTGTGATTGACTGGTAAACAGTCCAAGGTATACCCCACCTCTCGCCCAATGACAGCTGGGATTGGCTCCAGCCCCCCTGTGGTATAGATGATGGATGGATGGATGGATGATGTCATTTTCCATGACTTACTGTCTACTATTAATGCACTTAACATCAGTCTTAGATGCTAACAGATCTAAATGGGGTAACGGAGCAGCGAGTCTGTATAGTTTTATTTTCCAGCATAAGCCTAATTATACGTCTGAATAAGCGCTGCTAAACAGCTTCATAAACAAACTATCCCCACTGAGAGAAGAAAACTGGATTTGTAGTCTCTGTAAGAACCTCTCTACTCTCTCTCTTTCTCCATTTCAGCATGTCCACATCTGTGCGTCTCTCCCCAGTATATCTGCCATTAAGAGGGACTAAGATTTTCATTACAAGTCTGTTGAGCTCCTATTGTGTCTTTGGAGCCAGAAGCCATGAGTGGCTTTTCTTTCTTTGAGATACTAATAACAGAATCAAAGGAGGTGTGCCAGTCAGTGTTTGTATGTCTGTATATGCTCGTAATGCTGATGTAATCGAGCCCAATTAGCCTAGAGGGTAACTCTGTAATAATCCCTACCCCTGGGCATAATGGCCTATTAAAGCAGCAGTGGGCAGAATAAATGAGTGTGCCTAAGAGAAGAGAAAGAGGGAGGGAGGGCATGGTAGGGAGTATAAGTAAGGGCGGAGAGGGAGGTTTTGTGTCTTTTTACCTGATGATAAGTCGGCCCGGTTGTTGCTGGTCCCCTTTGTCACGTTGACATGAACTACCACCTTGCTCTCCTCCAGGGAGATCTCCAGAGTGCCATCATCGAGGTTACTGAAAAGAAGCAGTCCATCGGGGTTCCACGTGCGAAACTGGAAGCTCACAGATATCGTGTTGTGATTGGCTCGTCCTGGCAGCTGCAGGAAGCTGGTGGCGTTAAAAAAGACCGGGAAGGTGTGGGTCTCCACGCAGGAGAAGGACAGGTTACGCTGTCGAGACACAGAGGAGGAGGAAGAGACAACAAAAAAAAACAAGAGATTAATTGGTCGTGAAAAACAAAGTTGCTCACTTTGTATGTGAAGTTCAATCACCCCAACACTTCAAGAAACCATCTTGAGCTTTGGTTGCTTTGAGTCCTACCTCTGCATGTTTACCTTCAGAAGATCATGAATGAAGTTGAATTAAAAGTCTGATGCTTGCACACACAACAAAAATGTCACTTTTTGTCACTATGTCTTTAAAAACCAAGATGGAAGAGTGTTTCAGTGATTGAGGCGGACATACACTATGATTGACTCCAGGGATTAATTACCATTGAGTTTCTCACCTTGTGCTGTTAATCAAATCATTAGCAAACATTGTACATTTATATGTTGAGCTGCTTTAATGACAATAGATGTTTTTTTCCTAAATACAATTTTATAGATGAAATGGCTTTGTGAGTAGACATTACAGTGTAACGTGCCATGCATTTTATGAGGTGAAGAAACCAAGCCTTCTGTCAAGATGGTTTAAAAACAAACTGATCCACATTCACGGTGTTGAAACTGTCTTTGTATTTTGCAAGGAAAGGGCATCCATGATGTCAAGAGGGAGCACAAAGACAGGAGGTAAACACATGGAGGGGGCCACTGATGGGTCACTTGTATCTAATTAATTATGAATCTGTTCAACTATTTTGGTACAGTGAATAATTTGCCCTCTCACTCAGGTCACATACACAGGTAGTGTGACAGTAATGGGCATGTTCGGTTTTCAGCTGCCTTTGAACCGAGTTGTATCAAGCTTGTTAGATAAACCCATGTGCATGTGAATTTTGTAATGTTAATACTTTGAAGTGTATCTTCAAGAGAGTGTCTATGTGTGTGTGCTTACAAAGCTGGAGGTGTCGAGCTTCTTTCTGCGGGCCAGGTCTGTGATGTTGTCTCCGTTGTAGTTGATGCTCTCCATGCAACCTTTGAAGTTCTTCCTCCCTCCTCCCGATGGCTTCCCGCTGTATGGCATCCCTCCAAAGCTCAGCTACAGAAGAACAACAAGAAAACAGGTCAAACTAAATGGATTAAGGACAGAAAATACAGATTATTTTACAATTGATTCCCTTGACACTCCTTGGCTTGAAATTGGTCAAGTGCCACACTTATATAGTTTACAAGAACAATGTTTGATTGTTCGCTTTTATTGGCTCGGTATTTGACTCCATTTCTCATTGCTTTCAGTGTACTTGGTTAAACTCAGAAAAAAACAAGCTCAAAATGTAAATCAAACATTACAAATATTATCTACATTTGTTATTGAACTACCATTTACAGCTCTGGTATAATAAATGTACAGGTCTATGAAACAATATTACTGAAAGATAATAAGAAAATATTATACATAAATAATATACATAGTGCAGTGGTAAGAATTGCAAAGGATGATGAATTCAGTAAGCTCATGTGACAGGCTGCTTATACAATTGACATGGATGGCTATGATAATATAAAATGTACACTACTTCGCTTATGATGCAGTTTTGTAACCATTGCATAGAAACAAGAAGTACAGTAGTGACAAACAAATGTCTTATGTTGGAAGTTAATACTTTCCCAAAATAAATTTCAGTGCAGTAACCAGTCGATGTGTGTCTGTCTATCTGCTTGTGTTTGTATCTGTCTGTGGTGATGCTCCAGTAGCCTTCGTAATTACTACCAAGGGTAGACACAATTGCAGCCGGATAGTTAGTACAGGTTTAAATGGGAACAGGAAACATACAGAGGTGCACACACACACCCAAAAACACTTTCTGAGACAAGATTGAGTGTGCAGACTTAAGTAATTACATTGATGCATTATGAGTAAAAGCTGGTAACAATTTGTCTACCTTTAGCCAGGCTCATTGTCGCATTAACACCAATGGATCCATTCAGGGTTCACCAAACACACACACACAAAAAGCCCTGGTTGTATAGATTTCCCCAAAGATCCCTTCATTCAACAGCTTCTCTTTAATTGGACTGTGGTTTGTCCTGCCCCATTTCTTAATACTTAATACTGGAACAGATCAACCATATCAGCATGTCTGCTAAAGGTCACACTCTCAAAGCTTATCAATACAAACACAAACACATAAAGCAAGCCGCACAATTATGCACAAACTCTGTAACCCACAGGTGCTTTTCATTCCCATTATGCATTCCTGAATCAATTTCCTCTTATTAGCTGAACCTTTTGCATTTCATTACCAACAGTAATTATGGGAGTTTTATGGATGAGGTTTATAGCCCAGTGTAAAACCAATATCTAATGTCCTGTGTGGTATAAATGCACTGTACAGACAGAGGAATCCAAGCTACCACCAGTGATAAACATTTCTGAAAATGTAGTTGAAAATCTCGAAAAGACTGACAGACTGCTTCAGTAGCAAAAAGGTGAGGAACACAAACAGCATCTTTGCACCATACTGTACATCCAACACATTCTTTTTATTAATTTGGCGGCTACCAGCGCCCTCAACACACAAACTAATTTTAACAAATGATCCATCTTGCACATGCACAGTGCCAAAATAATTTACCTAATTTTGTGAACTTTGCGACTCAAATGAACGTGGCATTGATGATTCGGCTTGGACATTATAATGAGCAGGTGGAAACACTAATGCAATTCCTTGGCGACATTAGCCCTAAAGCTGTACTGTGCTACTTAATTAGCATAAACAGACTTTGCTTCAATACATTTTTTCTGACTGTGAACGCTCAACAGGTGGTCTGTTGTTACATTTACAAACTTTATATGGATGAGAAAGAACGTTTTCTGATGTGAAAATATTTGTTGTTTTATCTTGTGACTATTACCTCAGGCTGCTTAAACACTCATTAACAAGAATCACTCAAGAAAACCAGGAAGCCAGATAAGTCAGCTGACATTTTTTTGTTGATAACATCTTTAATGGTCTACCAGTTGGTGTTGTTTCTTATAATTGAAATCCCCAAAAACTGTCTATCAAAGTACAGCTGTTCGTTTGCTACAAGAGGGTTTTAATATACACATGATGTCACACTGCAAAAACACACTTATGATGCATGTTGGAGTAGCAGATTAGCTTGTACAGCTTCCTATTGTGTAATTGGACATGCATGTATGTAACTGGGTTTTTGTGTAAGATCACTGATTTACTTCAAATGAGAAAAACCATTACCTCTTAGTATACTTAGTAAAGTAAAAGCCCCACCTCATAGTCCAAATCAAGGTGGTCGAACTCTCCGTTGGTCCTGAAGTGCTGAGTGTGTCTGTCCAAGGTGAAGTTGACGTTACGACGGTATCGTTCAAGAACCACTGAGTGCCAGTGATTGTCGTCCAAAAGGCTGCCGGTGGTCACGGAGGTATGACCCAGGATAGAGCCGTACTGATTACTGCCTGCAATAAACACACAAATACAAGGAAACTTTCAGGGGCATGTTTCTTAAGGGCCAGAAAATAATTAACTTATTTGGGGTTAAAATATTAGTGAACAAAAGATTGTTTTTTTCTGAAAACTAAAAAAACTGTGTTAGTCTGTCAGGTTAGCAAGGACAAAAAATACATGTAGTATATTTACAGGGTTAATCATATACACAAAGACACAATTATTATGCTTTTACAAATGTTTATATTTTTGCCTTTATTGTGAACCATTACTCTTATTCTGACAGTCATGGACTTGAATCTATCAAAACTTTTACAGGGACAATTGTACTGCCTATAATGATGCTATTTTTTGACTTACTTGTTTTTTTCGAGATACATTTCCCTAATTTTTTTTACAAATACTTATATGTTTGACTAATATGCAAAGGTAGAAAAAAGTTGCGAGGATATTACTGATATAAAAACAGGTAGAATAGTTATTGTGGCAGGCTTTGCATGGAGATGTGTTCATAAATAGCATGCATGCATAACTCACCCAGGTTTATCTGCAGCAGTAGTTTGGCCTTGCGAAGCTCCAGGGTAATGTAGTCTCCCTGTTGGCCCTCCCCATGAAGAATCACACCGTCGCTCTCTGACGTCTTGAACCTCAACGCAATCACATCTTTAATGATCTTCATCTTCTTCACCTGGGAGGTAAGAAAAAGGGAGCCGAGAGACATGGTTGTTTAAAACCACAGGTGGCACATTTTTAATCAAAAGTGTTTGAAAAATAATAGTGTGTTTTTTTTCTCTGTTCAAGCTTTATAACTTGGTTAGAACAAGAAGTTTCCATATATTTCTTTGCACTGATTACCGTGACAATATGAGTGTATATGGGGAGCTTTTGTGAAAAAATATAATGATTAAAGTTATTAAATTAAGTACCTTAAATCGATATGAGATGACACTCTGTCCATCAAAGTTGATCACTCCCGCCCCTAAAGAGGAAATAAAGTAGACAGATAGGAACATCAGAAATAAGAGACGGGAAGAATAAACTGTAATGTAAACTGAGACTGAGGAAAATAACAATATGCCAAACTTCATAGCTCACAAAGTTTGGACTAATGATGACATTCTTTTAGCTGGGTCAGAGATTCTGAAGTCATTATATAGAGTGTGCAAAATGTGCATTTCCAGCAGTGTAAATGATATAAAAAATGAACCTACAGAAGCAAGAGTAATGCCAGAAGGTTTAGTCAGCTGAGTTAATATGCTAATGATAGAAGAACAGGCAAAGGGATTTATATAATATCTGTTCATGTCTTCTGAATGCACTGGAGGTTTGTTCATTTTTAAAATGTCATCCTCACAGGTAAGGATTGTAGCAATAGAGATTTAATTGTTTCCAATAATGCTGTACCCAAAAGGCATTTTCACTGAAGACTTTGTAGGAGTATAATATGCACAGTTGTTAGTGATGACAGGCTGAAAAGCTGTTAAAACACCTTTTGGTAGGGGAAAAAATCCTTCATTTCTTTTATATTTCTTGAAACATTCAAACAAATAAAGAAGTGAAATTATTCTGCTGTACAAAAACACTGTTAGTCAGCGTTTTAAAAAAGATGTCCCTGATGCATTGACTCACTATCTATGAAAAGCCTCTTACAGAATCATTATGGAAAATGAATCAGTCACAAATAGCGTACATTTATTTAAAATCGAATCGGAAATGACATATTTCTTACTAAATTTGAAATGAAACAGATGCACAATGAAACAGAAAAAAAATATGTTCACCTCAAAACACATTCAAACTAGAAGCCAAAGACACTACCAGGTGTTTTCACTTAATTGGCTGATTAGATGTGAGGGAGGAGCCAAAACTCTGCCAAGCTCCAACCTGAGCAGAGGTCTAATCAGCTCTAATTAAAAACACCTGGCTGAGCATGCAGCTCTGCAAAACGTATTTATCTGCAGGTATATTATGTAACCTGGTATGTTCTTGCATATTAACCAGATGGTGGTAAATACAATTCCACAAACAGTAAGACTATAGTTACAGTTAAAAAAAAAACTTTAAGTTATTTAGGAGCAGAGATTTTACACATACAGATTTTCACTTGTTGAGAACAGAAATTAAGAGCAGTGCTTGAAGCCCTGTTCAATCTTTCTTTTATCATCCCAGTGGTGAGTTGAGAGTGTGTGAAAGTATGTGCAGACATGCACAGACACTCTGCAATCATGCACAGTCACACAGTCCTTCATGTCTTTCTTGTCTTTTTGGTATCTCACAACAAACACATGCACACTGCTCTTTGATGATAAACACCTGCAGAGGAGGTATGGTGAAAATGACTTCTGTTTTCTTTGTTCTAACTTCAGTGTTTTCCCAGATGATCCCATGCTGCTTCCCACCAGGTAGAAGGAAGATGTGACACATTTGCACTCTTTTGAAATTCTTTGCGCATGACGATAATTGTGTTTATAAATTATATTAAATCACTATTCTCTGTGTCTTTCAGTCATAATCAGTGCTACTATTCCATGACTCATTTATGAAATAATTTATTTTCTGTTGATCCTGTGTAAATCAAAATGGAAATGAGCATGCTGGATCAGGCTCCCTCTCTGGCTACAGACACATAAACACAGAAGCCTTTATATAACACAGTCCTAGATGAGTTATAATATGGTGTTGCATTTAATTATCATACATTTACAAACCTAGAATTATCATCTACAACCAACATATTTGGTGATTATGCTGGGAACACGACATCTATATTTATCTGCCTCCCTCTCCTCCTATTACTCGTCTCTTCTGAGTTCTTCTTCCCTCCTCTCTTCTCTGTCAACGCACAACACGTTACTTCTTTTCTCTTTCATGACTGGATCGGGAAAGCAGGAAAACATTTAGAAGTTTTTTCTGACATGGGAAGGAAGTGAACAAATGAAATGTAATCAAAGAGGTGAAAACTGACTGGAATGAAATTAATGTCCTTGTATCGTGACTCTCACAGACAAAATATCCAGAATGAAGGATGTATGTGTGTCACTTATTTCCGTAATTTATGCAGAGGTTTAATTAAAAATTGTTATCAAAATCAATTAGGCAGCCTTTAATAGGATGAGAGCGAAGAGGCTGTGGGAGTCAGTTCCCTGGATGATACATTTGTAAGAAAGAGAGAGACAGAGTGTGTGTGTGTGTGTGTGTGTGTGTGTGTGTGCAAGGCTCTAACTGTGCTCTGCATATTTCTGCAAATATTTTTTTTGGTGTCAGGGCAGGTTTAAACATTGACTCTGAGTTTGATGTGTAGACAGAATTACAGAATTAGCTCGCAATGAAGAAAATGAATGGGGAAAAACTATTGGATGTAAAAAAAAAACTTCCCCTCTGGATCTATTATTAATACTGTTGACAATACAAGCTGGAAATACTGAAGTATTTTTAATTATCTTTATTTTGTAGAAATATGAAATAGAAGATAGCATAAGTCTGGGGGTGTGCAAAATGACCCATGTTTCCTGGAAGTCTGTGTGGTCTAAACTTGAATACTGACAGGAGTGCGAACGCAAAATCAGGATAATTATTTTGCAGGCTATTGCTGTATTAGCCTGCCCGCAACCCAGCCTTTTATCTGACGCCTCAAGCACAGTACATAAATGAGCATACATCAATTAGTGTTCCATTTACAAAACATGTAAAAAGGTTGTCCATGAATCCAGACAGGGATTACACTGCCAAAATATCCCAATTAGAAGAAAAGTTTATTGAGACTGTGTGTGTGTGTGTGTGTGTGTGTGTGTGTGTCTCCACTCACAGTAGGAGCAGCCATAAACTTCTATGCGCAGCCCGATCCGTCCTTCCTCGCTCCAGTCCAGCGGGACGAGCCGCAGAAAGCGTGCAACGATTCCCTGCTGCAGCTCATGGCGGACTGAGCTCTCCGAGTTGGAGTTCCCAGAGAAGGCCTGCATACACACACATACACAAACACACACACACACACACAAACATTTAAGTTAAATACATCAAAGCAGCTTCAGGCAGCTTAAACAAGCAGCTTCAGGACTTAGAGCGTGTATTTGTTCCACTCACCACATCCTGCCCTAAGGTGCAGAGTTGCAAAACATACAAAGTAATTATGAGGCTAAATATCCAATATGTCTTCTATAGGACTCTCTGACTGCAGGGATGTGCATATCAGACACTCCCAGTTCAGATCGCTTCATATCTCAAGGCTCACTTGAGATTCACTGAGGCTTGTCATGAGGTTTACAGCCCCCTGCCATATTAACATTGTGTTCTACACATTTACTTCGTGCAGTCTTTTAAATCACAGCCTCGAGAAAATGTCATATTGTACACAAAGCAAATACATACAAAAGCCTTTCTCAGCAAAATGGTCCAGTGTCTGTTGATTTAGTATCTTAACTGCCGTTTGCACAATCAAAATGTTTTATGAGACACTGGCTTTGAGTTTTGTGTTAAATCACATCAAAACAACGCATTTTCCTTATATGCAGCTTACGACGTGGAAGAACAGTCCCCTTGAACCTGAAAAATATCCTGAAAGCATTTTTACCAATGACATCATCAAAGTTCACGCCCTTGTTCAACAAAAAGGCAATCTGTCAGGTCTTAGAAACAATGGCAGTGGAATGCTTGAAAACGTAATTATGATGGCTTGTCTCTAAGCTTTCTCTTCATTGTGATGATAATGTTGAGTTTTCCCATGAAAAGTTTTCAGGATCTGTGACATGGATCTGTTGATGGCATCTGGCAGTTTTAGATGCACACTTTATGAAACACTTATCTGTACTCGTCTGTTCCTGTTCCACCTGCTTTTCGCAGCAAACTGGGTGAACAGCCCTCCCAAGGACTACAGTTGTTAATTTATTTGAGCTGATTAAAGATTAGTGATGTTTTTCTCACTGCCACAACCTCAGATTTGTGTCTATCCAATCAACTGTTTATGGGTTTTTATCTTTTACTGTCTCTGTGTGACAAAGTGGTTGATTGCTAGCATCCTAAAGTATAAAGCATTAAGTATTACACAACACTCGATGCCGATAAAGGTAAAGAGCGGGATCTCAACTTTGCTTTTCTCTTGTGGTTTCCTGTTTCAACAAACCGAAGTCAGTAGTGAGATTTACTGCAGAATCGGGTGTATAAGAAGCACATTTATGTCTATATTTCAGCTTAAAATGTGTCTGTGTCATACCAGTGCAACCAATATACTAGAATAAAATGCTGAGACATGCAACTTTAAATGCTGAAGCCATCATCAATCGTTGCACATGACCTGCATGCCGCTATTGAAAATTTCAGCTTTTCTTCCTCATTAGGTCATAATGATGCATTCAATGAAAACAGTTATACACTAAATATACCTTGGGACGATGGGACGCATGACTCACAGGCTGTGGGGTTCTTACTTCACAACTATCCCAGTAGGCCGGGAGCTCCGCTACCATAACCATTAGTTTGTAGAAGTACAAAATCCACTTTGCAAAAACAGGCGGTACAAAAAAAGCAACACATCTGCACAAAAAGAGCATGTTGTGGACTACTCTGGAAATTGTCATGCAAGAAGATATCTTTAACCTTTTTTTGCTTCTGTGTGACCCCAAAGAAGACTGCATCATCTATACTGATGCAACTTATGTTCCTGATTTTACGGTTCATTAATCATATCTTTTTTTTAACACTATAAGGCACCAAATGTAAGTGTAGTAAACAAAATTGGCTTCCATTTTTGACTGGCAGGTCTCAGAATACAACAATACAGAAGCCAAAATCCAGCGGTTTTCACTGACTTCTTAATCTTGTTCTGGTCTCCACTTCCTCTGTGGGTCTTCTGCTCAGCAACTCGCCTTGCAAGTGACGACACACCTTATGGTAAGAACATCTATTTATGAACTGATCCAGCTCACACTGGTCCCTGAACCTAACAAAAACACCACCTGTTACGGCCCACTTTTTCTCCTGTTCTTGGTTTTGTTTGATCGTTGTTTGAATTTGTGTGTTAAAATAAATCCTTGTTAAATCAAGATTAGTTTTGCCTTTGGTTTGGGGACCGGGGAAGTAACTTGTTTCGGGTTTTTATGTTACAAACCTGCCCCCCTAGACGGATGCGTAACATAAATTGGGGGCTTGTCCATTTCTGATTCCTGATTTTCGGTGAGTGTTTTTACATTTTCTCTGTAGTGTCTTTGGTTGGCAATTTTTCTGTGTGTGTGGGAGTAAAAATGTGTGATCTAGATAAATTTGCGCAAAATCCCACATTGGATAAATTAGAGCGATGCACGAAGGCAGATTTGTTGTTAATTGCTATTTTGTTTGATATCTGTCTGCCGATAAATACACGGAAGGCAGAAATTAAGTCAAGTCTGCCGGCAAAACTGGTGGAGCGGGATATCGCTAAAATAAAGCTGAAATTGGTCAGCGCTCTCTGGGTGCATGAGGAAGTGGAGGCGGAGGCTGCCACGGCCATTCCGGTATCTCCAGACCCAATGGCGTTAATTCAGACTGGGGTTGAGATGGAGGATCTAAAACTTGCCCTTCACATGAGAGAGGTTGAACTAGAGACAACAACCCGAGAGGTTGAGCTCATGCACCTCCGCATTAGAGCGATGGAGCTGGAAAGACCTCTCTATAGGCTGTAACACCACCACCCTTCTCCCTGTGCTTAGGGTTAGGGTTAGATGAGCACTATTAATAGCTAAGCAGGTAACAAGACGAGAGCGAGACACAAGACAGCCATGCATTATTCTAGATGAGGCATGAAGCGGGTAGTGCAGTGAATGAGTGTGGTGGGAAAAAAAGCTCAGCTCAGGCGATCGGCTTTGAGCTGACTCCTCAGTGACCCGACTCCTGAAGATACGCTATCTGCAAAGAGAAGATGGTCGAGAGTTCACAGTCAGCTTAGAGCCACTGAACTTCCACTGTAGCGAGGGGACTGGACATGATGTTAACAGCGCTTCTATCTCCTATCTGCCTCTCCCTCCCTTTCATTTTTAATCTGTATTTATCCAGGAAAGGTTAACGGAGCACAAAAACACACTCTGAAGCTTTTTTTTTTATCAGAGGCCTGCTTCAAAGTCACACAGCTCCACATGACTCATCAGGGAGCCCTTCAGTAGACTTTAACTGTGGTTCTACTCTCTGCAGGCGCACAGGTCCTGACGATCTGGGTTAAGAGACTTGCTCAAGGCCAGGTGTGATTTTCTTTTTAGAGGGCTACAACTCACTCACAAATTCAGTTTGTCACCAGAAATACAAATCCAATTCCTGGTGAATACAGGGATTCCCTTTGTGTGTTATATTTTGAGAACAGATGCCATTTGTCAGGTTCTCACTCCACTTTCTGACTGGTCCAAACAGTTTATTCTGTTATTTTTTTTTACTTAAGATAACAATTATTCCCTGAGGTGTCCTGCAGAGAGGCCTGAGGACAGTGGTCCATATGTGCACAGTCTGTCAGGTCTACAGTGAGCTGGATGGAGGACAAGGGGTCCTGTGTATCGGCTGTAGTCCTACCAGAGGAGATACAGTCCAACATCAGGAGTTCACAAATACTCAGTTTCTCCTTCCAGTATTCCAGGAGTTTGTTGGTTGCTCTGCAGGACCTGAGTCCCGGTTTAACAGCCAGACCAGCAGAATCCTGCAGCTAAGGCCAGCCAGCTCCACCACGTAGCCCCAGAGAAGGGGCCCTGCAGTCTGGATCAAAGAAGACAAACAGGGGCCTGCCCCCAGTTGGGACAGTCCAGGATTGTCCCATGGAGAACAGCTTCCTGCTGCAGCCAGTGCAGGGCGTCTGCCTCTCACTGTCTCTCCTTTTTAACCAGGTTCCAGAAAACTAGGCAGAGATGACCTGTTAAAATGAGTGCTGTCTTTCAAAAATGATTTAAAATCCATACCCAGGTAATTAAAATGGTTGAGAATGCTGCAGGGTAGAGCTCTCCACAGAGTGTCCTTTGGTCCACTTATAAAGCCAGCCTTATACTAAGTCCAAAAGTCATCACATTTGTATTTGTGCTTGTCTCATCCCCCAGGAAAACCCCAGGTACTGTTGCCTCCTCTCTTTCAGGTGAGTTGAGCAGGTAGACAGAGCTGACCCCCCCAGCCCAGCTCCATGTTCACTCTGTCATCTCAGAAAGAGAGAGAGAGAGAGTGAGAGAAAAAAAAATCAAAATTTTTGTCTTCACCCAAAAGCTCAATCCCCCGTCCCGATTTTTCCAGCACCTTTCTCGGATTTCTCTTTAGTGTTCATCCTGCTGCTCGCCACTTATCTGTGCTTGGCTGAATGAACAGCTCAATTCAAAGACATTACTATGCAGAGTGGAGGGCAGCAGGCAGGATATATTGAGGAGAAAAGGAGGATGAAGAGAAGGGGGGTGAGGAAAAGAAAAATAGTTATTTGCGCTGAACACCTCGCAAAACTCTGCCTAGTCATCCATTTAATTCCTTCTACTCAGAAGTCAAACCATTAACCAGTAAACCAGTGAGTAATTGGGTATTTGTGTATATGTGACCATTTACTGAGGTGCCTGAGGTTACTTCTCAGTGTATATGTGTGTGTGTGTGTGTGTGTGTGTGTGTGTGTGTGTAGGTGTTTTTATCAATTTGTGTACTTCTCTCAAAGTGTAAGCCTAAAACTGATGTATGTTTGAGCCACATACACAAATTATTTTAAATGTTTAATGCTTTACTCCATCAAATATGTTGGCATGCTTCTGTCCCATAGGCACAGTTGCATTTACACCCATTATCTTTTCCTTCTCCTCAATTTTTTTTATTTCCTGTGCGTCCGTAATTTTTCTCTGTGTGCATGTAAATTTGTGCCTCTATCTGTACATGTGTGTTACTGTACATGTCTGTGTCTGTTTTGACAGCCAGAAAGAGGCTTGTCCAGAGAATAAATCTCCAGATACTGAGAAACAACAAGTGGAACCTTTTTTTCAGATTTTTCCTCATTGCAACTGGACCCTGTTTCAGACCAACACAGAGTCTGGTCCATTGTGTGTCTGCGTGTGTGCTTTTGGATTGGTGTGGGTGTTCCTTTCTAAGGGAGGCAGGGGAAATCAGACCAGCCTGGTCTGTTTTTTTTTGTTTGTTTTTATCAACAATTGTACAGGGCAAAACAGAAAGGGCCACAGAGAAATTTGAGTTCCTGTGAAGCCTGATGAGTGCTTGTATTTGTGTTTTGACAAAGAAACCGGGACAATTTAAAAGTGCTAAATTTAAGAAAAGAAGATTGTGTTTAATCATAACTACTTTAATGGCCTTTAATTGTATTCTGTTTTTTTTTTGTAATCTGAGTTAAATTGATCTAATCTCGGGGGTGCAGGTAGCCTATAGTGGTTAGTGCTCGTGCCCTGTTTAAAGAGACTGTGGGCTGACCTGTGGCTCCTTTCCTGCATGTCATTCCCCACTCGCTCTGTCCCTGATTTCCAACTCTCTCACCTGCCCTGTCCCCTAAAAAATCCTTGTAATCTCAATCACATTTATAATAATTTATTTAACCATGTTAATCCATATACTTTGTTTTGAAGATGTAAAAATGAAAACTCTCTGTGATGAATATTTTACAAGGATACATTTTCAGAATACAGTCCTCCATGTAAAGTACTAAAGACAGCAGACGCTAAGACACAGGCATAGAGGCTTTTTTAATAATACATCCCTGTAATCTACATTTGCATCTCTATAATGCATTTCCTGTAATTGTTAAAGAAAATAAGTCGAGAAAAACTGAAAATAGTTGACATATATATTTGCACAAATCTGTTGCATCGGCCAAGGAGTTTTCCTCTATCAGTCTGTTTGTTGCAAAAGTGATTAATTTAAGTTTGCTGGTATCGACAGCCTCTGAGGCATTGCATCTGTTCTATCAGTTTGTATTTCAATTATCGCAGACATTCATCAGTGTCACCGAGCCTCATCAGGAGAACATTAGCGAGGCTTTGGAGGAACAATATTTCACACAAACCAATACTGCAGTCGACGGGATTTGACTGATTATCCCCCAGAGGATTAAAGCAAGAACAGTCAAGCTATGAAAGTCCTCTCAGTTTGATGTTTAAAGAGTTAAGTTATCAGCGAGAAGTGATGGCAGGGGGTGATTGGTGTCAGAATGTTTCTGAATAAAAACTTAATGCATAGGACTGCAGGGCAGGTGTTTTTTCTCTCTCAGGGGATCTCTCTGTAAACCAGTGGTGAGCGAGGGCTGAGCAGAATGTGATTGAACGGGCTCAAACAAGGTCTGATTGTTGCTCTGTGTAAGCGCCCTCCCATCACTTTTGATCAATAGCACTGATAGCTTCAGTATTATTGCCACTTAGAAATGGACAGACATAAATGCTATAAACAGGGTCTAAGCTTGTGCAGATGCACATATGATGCTCTAATAGGAGAATAAGTGTGCGTTCATGCACGTGTTTATGTGCAAAAGCCTGTTTTAACTAAGTTACAGCAAGAGACAGAGAGAAACAAATGGCTCCAGTATTTGCCTGTTTGCAGGGTTGGTTATTGATGGCAGAAGCACAGCTTTAAGTTATTGGCTTGGTATTTTTAAACAGCAATATTTTGAGTTACACAGGCCATAAATTAAATAGCAATATGTATGTCATACATTTAGGCAAAACAGGACAAAAAGTCCGCCGCTGTTAAGAAACATCCAGGAGATGAATGTGTTTTGGAGTATTTGCAGCAATTTGAGGCAATGAATCAGGGTTAATGGCAGAGGGAAAACACTTGTGAATAAATAATAATCTCCAAACAATTATGATACAGCGCCGAAAAACAACAGCTTAATTTGCTTTCAACTGTAAAGATCCATATTTGTCACTGCAAAGAGTCCTCACAGGACTGAAGAGGGAGAATAATTATGGAGCTTTTTGGGGATGAATGCCGAGCCTAAGATCTACAAACAAAAACTCACACTTGCAAAAAAAACAAAAAGCACAAGAGTTTCAGACTGCAGAAAATCTAATTTTCCAGGGGGGCTGTGTCTGTGCTGCCCGGGCCCTGTGTCACCACACAGACTGAACACCTCAGCTATGTCCCATATCAGGGGCGGCTTCATACAGAAGGCCCATTTGAAGAAAGATTGTGTCACAACGGTGCAAACGCAAGCTGTCTTTGAAGTCTCCTGCAAACGTGACTGACGAATAGATCCTTCTCTCCCTGTGCCACAAAGGATCTATCTGGTGCATCCTTCATGGCCCAATATATCGGAGATTCATTCCAGTCAGACTCAAACAAGATGGCAGAATCTTAAAGGGCAGAGTAATACACTTTTAAATATAAGTTAGTAGTTTCACCTCCATTGAATGGCTAGCAAAACCAAAGTTAAGAGACAAAAATGTTCTTATTAATAACCATAGGTTTAGTTTCACGGTGTTAGTTATGTTTGCTAGTTCTGGTGCAGCTGTCGAGGTTGCTAGGCGACAGGGGCGGCTCTACTGTAAGTAACAAAAGTGGCTGGGTCAGGAGCAGCTGTTAACGCGAACAGGAAGTCCTCTGTAGATCAGACCTTCTCGTTTCAACACTGCCTGAGCAATTTACTTTGGCTACAAAGGCTGGGTTCTTCAAAGGATGTTACCCCTGGATTTGGGACACCGTTTCTCTGTTATATGTCCTTTGTACATAATTGTGTATTTATGCTCTTTCTGTAGTACTTAATATTTATGATGGAAAAAGTGAAGTATATAAACCTATTGGTCTTCCACTAGAGATGAGCAACTTTTTGAAAGGACCCTTCAAGGAGGATATAATTAGATGGACAAAAGAGAGAGAGAAAATATATCCAGTCTGACTTCACTGGTGTAGAAAAAACATGCAAACATTTTCTGCAGGATAAGTTGTATCCCATAAGGGAAGTGTACATGCATCAGCATTTGTGAAAAACAGTGACTAGAAACACCCTTTATTCAAAATAAATGGCCAACGGCAAGTTTCCCCATGGTGAGTTTGATTCTAAAAAGACTAAAATCAACGGAAGAGTTGGTCAAAAAAAAAAAATAGCATTGTGGTTGAAGACCATTTTGTTTGCCCCTGATGTTAAGAATTGATACTTGGAATGGAAAATAAAAACTAGACATCTTACTTGACTGTGTCTTTTATGCAAACACACACCTTCACACCCATACATACAAAATAATAATATTAATATTGATTACGTACCCAAATGTTGCCATCTTGGTGATATGGTTTCCAGTTCCTTCCTGTATCGCTGTAGAGGAGACGGTATCGTGTCGTCCAATCAGAGCTGCTGTATCGTCCCTGTGTTGCTATGGCGCTCACCTGCTTTCTTGAACCCATGTCCACCTGTAGCCACTGGTAATGGTCACTGTCCAGAGGTGACCATCCTCCAGCACCTGTAGAAACAGTGACATTTTCATAATGAGTGAGGATCAAAAGGTTGTGTTACAATGTCTTACTTTTATTACATCAGTGTGTAATAATCAGTCTGTGATATTTTATCAGGTCAAATTGCCAAGCCCAGGCATAAATAAATAGCAGAAAATACAGTACAAAGAAATGCTTTTTTCTCTTCCTCTTTTTGCTCATTAGCAAAGGCTGCTTCTTGCACACAAAGGCTTAGTTGGCACTGTTTGTGCTGACCAACTCCTGAGTCACAGACAGGAGGTAATGCAGCATTGGGCTGCTATTACAGACTGAAACTAGTGTCAATATCTGCCTCTAATACGACCATATCTTATCGGGTATTAGTGAGTATGCCAATCAATGAACCAAATTAGTCCCCTTAAAACAGGTAGATTATTGTGTGAATATAACAAACTATATGTGGATGGGTCTCAGAGACAGTGTTGTACAAGTCAAACCTGCCAATAATCAGCAACCACAAATATTAATAATGTTTCTTTATCCCACTAGTTTTAAGGGTCACTCTGGAGAAGCCAATACAATAGTCTAGATCAGAGGTTCTCAACTGGTCGAGCCTCAGGACCCACCACTGACTCCTTCATGAAAAATTGTGACCCAAATTCCTCATATTTTTCGATCAATCAGATTTTATTTCATGAATTATTGAGCAGTTTGGACCTCAGATGGTACAAAGTGTGACAGAACAAAGGAACTGAACAAAAAAATAGTGTCAAAGAAGGGCTTCATAGAACTTTTGACACAATTTTTCCTACAAACACACCTTCGCGACCCACTTTTGGGTCCCGACCCACCAGTTGAGAACCACTGCTCTAGCTTATGGAATAGGTTTGCTTCCATGATAGTTCTGCGATCAGACATGTAAGTAAGTACTGGTGCATGTAAGTAATTCAAGTTATGTGTTCTATTTGCAGTTCAGCTGGTTTTAATTGTATACAGGAAAACATTGAACATGGAAAGCAAAAGGAGCCGGACACAATCCACTGTGATACATTGCCATAACCCAAAAAAAGCAAGACAATTTTTTTTTTTTTTTAATTTCTTAAGTATCTGCATGCGAGTGCAGCAAGCCATCTATCTTGCTGGCATTTCTACACACCAACAGCAATGCAAAGAAAAGGAATTCAAAGCTGGAAATCCTTTTTTGATTACTGCTGGCTGAACTGAAAGTGCTGAAAAAATGTCAATTACTACAAGAGGCCTTTACCATTGTCAGAACATCGCCAAGGGGTCCTGAAATCAACCAGAAAGCAACCCAGAAATGTATCAGAATAAATGTGAATGACATGATGTTGTAGGAGCCTTCCATGCAGGGCTAGTGCCTACCCACTATTAAGAATTAAGAAAACAGTCTTCTTCAGTATTATGTAATTATTCACTCTCAAACACACCAGAAATATTCAGGAGACGAGTAAGCATGTTTGACATTTCTGTATGATTTCCTTTTGAATATTTGTATCCAAGACATAATGTGACATTTTGGAGTCCTGCAGATATGTGTAGTTAACGCTCAAATAAAACAAAGGATGAAACTATAATGGGAATGTGAGCACAGCATAACAATGATGTCAGTCAAGATATGAAAAGACTGCTTACACAAAGTCAAACAGGGACGGCACATTTCCCAGATATGTAAATACGTAATAATGCAAATACTGTCAAACACAAATTCAATCCACTTCTTACTGACAGTCACATCTGGTTATCTCCTCTGATTCCCAGCTAAGCTCTGCTTCAATATGTGCTTCCTCAAGTGCAGATTAGAGTAATATTTCAATCTGGTGGAACGCACATTGACATTTAAAGTGCTCACGATTCAGTTTTGATTTGCTTTTAAATTAGTCAAAAGACAGACGATGAAAAACGGGTTAAATTACTTCTTGTGGAATTATTTTACTTCCTCTATACCTTTTTGCAAACTTGGTTAGCTATACAACAGACAAGGTCAGGGTTTATGATTCATCTGAACGCGCACTGAAGTCATGGAAAGACAGGTTTGCAAAGGTGAAGAATTGCTTTGAAGGAAATGACAATCTCTGGAATCACCAGAGGAGAAGGTTTCAATGCTATTTCCCCATGGCTACAGTCCTGACTGTTGAAATAGATGGCTGCATTTGTCTCGTAATCCACTCAGTGGCAGGCAGCGTCCTCGTGTCCCCACCTGAAACCTCATGGCTCTGCCTTCATTTCCAGACAAACACCCATGTGTCCTCCAACAGTTGCACCATATCAAATGTCCAGGTGTCTACCAGAGGCAGGGCCAAACTGCCCTGGACCTCTCAGGTTAAACGGGCCTAAGGATAAATGATGCAGAAACAAAAGAGCGAGGCCGGACAGAAGGAAGAGAAAAATGTTGGATGGGATCCAACTGACCTGATTTCATCTGCTGTAGAAACAGAGGAGCAAAAACAACGGCGTGATGCCAGCATTGTGTGCACGCTACTGAGAGAGCAGTCAAAACCAGTGTGAGAAAGACAAGAAAATGAAAACAGTGTGCATGTAACAGATGCATTCACACACAAACTGAGCACTGTAGATGTGTCAGAGCAGCAGACAGCAAAGCCTGTGACACAATGCAACAGTGAAATGATTATCAAGAAGAGTAGGTGGTGGATGGACTGCAAACAGGCCATGTCACGGCCATCTCCTTTGGTTTTCTTATAAAAGGCCACAAATACAGATAAGAAAGAGACAGGGTTAAAAAAACAAATAGGGGAGGGTGAATTGTTTGAAAATAAAACAGAAAGAAGGACAAGGTAAGACAATGGTAGATAACAAGATAAAGAACGTATGAGAAAGGCTAAGATGAGTAAAAAAGCATAGCGGAACCACAAGAGATCAAAATCATGTGATAAAATAAAGGGTGAGACAGTTTGCAATGTATCTCCAGCCCACCCGACAAAAATCCTATATCTTATCCAATTACAGAGCCATTACACTCCAGCCCCAGCCTTGACAGATAACTGGGCACGTATCTGTGGAAACATCAATACCTCAAAAACACGTTGCAGCAAAGCCATTCCCTCACAGGGCATAAAGCACTATCAAAAGGAAGCGAGAAAAAGAAGCAGGAGGGTCTGGAGGGTGAAGAATCATGAACAGGATAGAAGGGGTGATGCTGATAACTAAAGAGACAGTTGATGTATAGACTAAGAAAGCTAGCTAAGTGGATAATAACCAAGGGTGTGCAAAGCTAGATACAAGATCTGAGGATGGCATGTCATAAAGAGTGTCAACAAGGTGTGAGCTGAAGGAAATTGAAATGAGCGAGGGTGGGAGAAATGGATAAGTTGGGAGGAAGAGGGAGCGATGAGATGGGATTTTATGACACTGATACCAGGGAGACCGAAGATGAGATAGCATAGGGGATACAAAGGGAGCAATGTAGTTATGGCTAAAAGAGGTGATTGATGAGGGAAACATGAAGAGATGGTGAGGGTACTGCGCAGAGGGAACAAGATGAGGAACTTGGGAGAGGAAGATAAACTGAAGCCATTCAAGTTTGGAGTGGTGGAAACAATCAACGGAGAGTTAGACTGCAAGTGGGCTCAAATGACGTAGAACAGAAAAAAACATATTGGAAAAGTTATGGAGAGAGTTCAAGATAATAGAGGAGAGTCAGAGAGGAATGTCTAGAATATATGTGAAATATATCCGGCAACTACATGTAGAAGATAGGTTAGCTGCTCTGATGACCCCATCTTCAGGTTGCTGGGATGGCTTTTTGTGCTTGTCAGTGTGTTTTTGAGTTTGGGATCCCAATAGGCCTGAATGGTTTGTCTTTAATTGGGAACAACTGAGCCCTATGTTCCGAATCCTCTACTGAGCGCTCAACTTAAAATAGAAAACGGACACTCTGTTCCCCATGCCCCACATCCTTAAATTTGGTTTTCTCTTATTTTACACAACAACCAAATATTATATTTCAAATCGTGCATAGACACCAGAACCAAATAATTACTGACTTTAGAGCTTCATATTGTTGGTTAGTTTTCTGATTTGTGATTTGATATTGGTTGCACTCCTTGTAGTTCCTTACAATATTTGTCACATTGGCCTTGAAAAATGGAAAGCCTATAAGGATTTAAACCTGGGACCTTTAACCTATTGGTGAGCATTTATGTTGGTTTATTTACCTGGTGCCTTGCAGATGAAAGGGTTACAGTTTGTATGTTTGCTAATCTGAAAATGGTGGGAAAACGATTTATAATCTAGTCCATTTGAGTCATTGAGTAGAACGACCTCGTTCATAAAACCATAGGAGATCATTTACCTTTGTAAAGTGTCACGGCAACAACCATTTAACGCTCATTGTCAACAACACGAAACTTACAATTCAGCTTATTAAACTTGCAATTCAATGCAACATGCAAAAAAATAAATAGTGTTTGTTTGCTCAGCACTGTTCACTGCTTGATATTTCATTCTGTTGCGTCAAAAGTTCAGCTAGGCTCACCTTTATGATGGACAACTTTTTGGACTTTTAAGGGTGAACAGCAGGACAGCGTGATGGTAAGGGACCCGGAGTTGAAGAGGATGGATGGAGGAGAAGGCTAGTTAGGGATATGGGGTTACCAAAGGTAACAGATGGGAACAGGGGAGAGGAAAAAAAGATTGAAAGGCAATAGAGTCCATAGAGACGGCCAGTGATTCAAAAGATTGTGGAAGTGATGGCAAGCATTTTGGGAAGCATGGACTGAGAAAAGGAGGGAAGAGCTGTGGGCCAAATAGATTATGTTTTAGGTCAGTGGAGAAACAAGGGACACGGATGAAGGATGTGTAGGAGCAAAAAGAAAAAAGGGCAAAAGAGAAGACCAAGGAAGTGTGACAGGAAAATGCTGTCATAGATTTGAGAGGAAGGGAGAGGGCTGGAAAGGGAAGAAAAGATGAGAGGTGAGAGGGGAGTATAGGGGCAGCTTGACAGAGGTTAGGGGAGGGGGATGAGGAGTGATATATTAAAAAAGAAGAACAG